CTGCGTAGCAGAGATTAGACGTTTCGTGGTTTCCAATCCAGTAAAATCGCTTTTGAAAGGCAACTCGATATAGATCTTTTTCTTGGTGGCCGTAAGCACCAAGTTTTTTGGGCCTCGCTGGTAGCTGTGTTTCTCTATAAATCTACGTGGATAACCATTTGCAATGAGTGTTGTTGTAATTAACTTTAGCTCGTCGGCTAGACAATCAGCCGAGCAAATTCGTCTAGCACGAGTAACTAAAGTTTCCACAAGGGTCCGCTTGTACCGCACTGGTGTGAAGCTGGTGAAGTGCAGGTATTGGCCGGACCAAGTTGCTTTCCTGTAGATAGACCTTTTAATAAGCCCGTCATCCCTGCGACTGATGAGGATGTCTAAGAATGGCAGACAGTTGTTTTGTTCCACTTCGCAGGTGACCCGCAAGTTGGTATGTGTACCTGCGAAGTGGAACAAAACAACTGTCTGCCATTCTTAGACATCCTCATCAGTCGCAGGGATGACGGGCTTATTAAAAGGTCTATCTGGTTTTCTGGGACCAGTGGTGCGGATCAGCTGAGGAGCTTGCGATAATTGCCTACTGCTCCTGCCTCCTCCATTTCTTGAGCCCGTCTGGTCCACCAGGCTTCCTTGTCAGCACGTAGGCTCTGCTTTAGTTCACGCCTAATAGCCCGTCTGGTCACATTGTGTTCAGAGCCAGCCGGGAGGTGTCTTCTAGATTCCAACAGGTTCACTGACCTCTCGGATATCCAGTGACTGGTGCGGTGACGACTGATAGTGCCACAAGCAGATGCTCCTGCGTCATGCATGGCGGCCGAGATCCTATTCCACTGAAGCTCAGTGTCAGTAGAGCAAGATAAGTTCGTTACGTAGTGCATCCTGGTAGACTTGCCTGACGAAGGGTTGAGACAGTTTCTCAATTGCCTATGGGAGTGACGCCTGGTGCGCCTTCCGGTAAACTTCATGGAGAAACGACAGCGTACCAAAGCATGATCAGAGTCGACGCAAGTATTCCAGAAGGAGCGGCAATCCAGGAGGGAAGCACGCCACCTGTAACTTATGGCTATGTGGTCAATTTCGGTCAATCGATGACCAGCTACAAGAGGAAGCCAAGTGGCACTTCGGCGCCCACTGTATCTAAAATCAGTGCTACTAAGAAACAACTGGTACTCCGCACACAGTTGCAGCAGACGCTCACCGTTGTCAGTCCGTTCGGAGTTAAGCCCACAATTACCAGCCAGCTGAGCTTCTGAAGAGCTCAGACGCCCTACTTGTGCGTTCATATCCCCTGCAAGTAGTATAATATCTGAACTAGTAGCATGCGTAGTAGGGCGTTCAGTTCGTGATAGAATGTGTCCTTGACAACATCTGAACTGCAGTCAGAGGGAGCGTAAAAGGAAATCACAACAAACAGCGTTTTATATTACTTCGTAACTCCGCCTTAGCTGATGTCGTCAAACGGGCTGCACATAAACGGCTCTTCACCGGAATCCAATCAACCAACGATGACTCAGCCTTAGAGCTTAGAATGATACCTACACCAGCTTGACCCGTGAGTGCTGCATCGGCGTCTTCGGATGCGTGCAACCAATAACGAGAGGATAAGCCGGGTGCAGTTAATTCAACAACCCCGTTAAGGTCATTGATCCTAGTTTCGGACACACAACACACATCAATACCGTGTGTCCAAGGTGCGTGCGAGTGCAGCCTGTTGACCTGTTTGTCTTAGAGTGCGAACGTTGAATGTCGCCATGGAAACGGGATAGTGTGGCCTTATAAGGACTTTTGCCGATAGGCGTCCGATAGTTGCGGTGGGATGGTGGCTGCAGATGGTTCTACTCCAGTGGCACTTCGGTTGCTGTCAATTAAGCTGGGAATTATAGAAGGAAGGTTAGTGATGGAGGTAGGAATGGGAGTAAGAGAAACAGGTGGAAAAGAAAGAAGGGAAGCGCCAGCAGTAGCATGTTTTCGCTTATCCGCCCTGCTGTATGCAGCAGATAAGGCGACTCCTGATAATCTGCGCGACGGCCGATGCAGGATGAAGTTTATGTTTGAAGAAAATGTCATGGTTGTATGTGGGCTGAGTCGGCATGGCAATCAGAGAAGAGCGTCGGAAGCTGGAAAAGCACTACACATACAGTATGCAGGCAAGTTCAGACAGGAAATAGAGGGTAATGCAACAACAGGTAAATGACAAGAACAAAGGAAAGCAAAATGATCTTCAAGGGAGGCGCTGTATTTCTCGCTATACTCGACGCTACTTCAAGTCAGAGCATTCGCAATATACAACCTTAAATAACAGTGAGGTCAGAGTACTGGCGCTTCAGGCCCGAGCTGTTCGTTGAGCATGTTGCTGTCACCGGTGATGAATGCAGAAGTGTATAAACAGAGCACGCGATAGCTAGGTCAGAGCATGTATGACAAGTCGAAGCTACCGAAAAGTAGACAGGCGGTAAAAACACGGACTATTTAAACTGTTAACTGTCAAAGGGAATACAGACACCAGTAAAATAGCAAACGGGTAGGGAAGCGAGGTAGAGTAACTGTAAAACTAAGTTACGTGAAGTGGTGCCGCAACCTCGACTTCTCGAGGAAAGGCGTAGACCGTTAGGAGCCTGGGAATGCGCAAAACACCAGATCCGATTAAGGAAAAAAAGAAGTACGCAAACCCAACAAGCGACTCGAGAGGGCGAAGAAAACCTGGCGATTTAAGTTTGGCTAACTCAGACATCTCTAGATCAGGTACAGTAAAAAAAATTGGATAATAAAGACGCGACTGCTACGGTAATATTATCGGCATATTAATCCAACATCTCTTCAACAGAAAAGAAGCAGAAAGCCGATGTTATGTTCCTTAAAAATTGGGTGATTTCAGAAATTCAAGCAGTTTAAGATCAATTTTGGAAAATACATCGGATAGGCACCTTTAAAGCGAACAGGAATATGCTACTTCTGATGGACAATTCATGCTATATAAAGTCTGAGCTAGCGAAACTGGAAACTAGAGTGATGACAGAATAAGTTAGACCATGAATGTCGGATAAAGAAGCTGGCGAAGTATGTGCGGGCTAAACGGTGGGTTCACGGTTTCTACGAGTCAACCAAGTAAGTTGCTAGATAAGGAAGTTAGCTCGGGGATAAATGGCTTTTGATTGCCAGTGATTCACATCGCACGAAATAGTGGGTGAGATACATCCCGCTACTCAGCCTGGGAGGCATTCTGATTTTACGAAATCGAGCAGTCGCTCACGCTGCCACTTTGTCCCAATGCGAATTACATTGTACTTGCTACTGAATGCAACGGTTAAGGAAGTCTGATGCAATGCATGAACTCAGTGGCCAGCACGGTGGGGGGGGGAAATGGGTGGCAGTAGAACTTCTATGCAGTGTGTTTCAAAAGTGCGGCAAGTCAAAAGTTAGGCTACAATGAGGTGATAAACCTAGGAACATGGGGATTATCGTGTTGTACCACGATGTGTATCCAATACCGTTTATGGACTTGTAGTAACGTCATCTCTTTGACACACAAATTTTTGCTACACTTGGACTGGTAAGACGATACATCAAGTCATTTGACAATTTCACCAGCTGTATTGACTATCATTCAAAAGCTACAACTAGCACACAATCGATACCAAATTTGAACAACTGTACATCAAGTCATATAAACACCTCGCAGCCTTTCTTCGTGGGTTTCCTTCTGTTCTTCCGTCATTAATTTGTGGGAGCATCAACATATATGAATGAGAATGCCTGCATACGTACATACGGCATCCAATAACGACGGGGCATTAGTTCTGAATCCAGCACCTAAGAAGCGCTGTTACACACTTAGCTGGGTGAAATCGTCGGGTGGCCAATCGGTGGTGTGACATAAAGCCATGAACGAACTAGCTGATCAGACTGTCCCTTTCCGCTTTCCTGTACGAAAGCCCCCTGCACTAGTTACCTTATCCCACACCGTTCAGTTAGTGGCGTTCTAGCGTTCTGTTACTTCACCAGCCCGATCAAAATTTCCTTAACCCATTTGTCCTTGAACTTCGCTTGCGCTATACCTTACTTTCTGTACCATCCTTCACTAATGTTACTCTGTGATGTGAGCCATTGTGACTGGATCAACTGCGCTTCGGTGCTAGCGTGAGTGTGATGAACTGAACGTTTGCCATTAGCAGGGTTTGGTTTCAGAGCAAATTGTAGATCAAATGATATTGTATTTCTATGGGGGCTTGTGAGTAGCGAATGTGCGCTCGCTACATGGCCAGTGATCGGCACACAATTGTGCCACCTAAACCCATTTATGTGCTACAGAATATAGGTGGAAACGATGCCAAGTGAGAGCGATGGTTTCAATGAATAGTGCGCGCCAAGCACGTATCACACCATTCTGATTCAGTGTCAAGACAATCCGCAAGCAGCTGGATCACGCGCTCATTCTCGGAATAGTTGGTGATTCAATTTCGTTACAGAGGAACTAGAAGAGTGAGACAAACGATCATTTTACGAGCTCCAAAGTTGTATCAGAAAACTGAGAGAAAAACTGTGGCGATCGACAAGACATCAAACATGACCGTTAAACTCGTAAAAGTGGAAAAATTCATATGCTGCATCGTAATCGGTATGCAATAGGGATCGGTGGCACAGACAACTGAAGAGGGCTGTAAAGGGGAAACAATAAAGACTAAAAAGTGAACAAATTCTGAACAGATGTAGGAAACTACAGAGAATACTTACCTTGAAATTGAAAGAAGCAGAAGCCTGTGTATCCCTGTACAATTCGGGATATTTGAGGCAATTTTTTACGCTACAACTTCGATCAAAAAGACCCAAAGCGATGGGGGGAGCAGCAGAGAAGATCTGGAAAATGATAAGAGTTTCTTTTTCTAGTAGAATTGCCGACAAGAGTGAGGACAATGTAAAACTGGACCAAAAATCAGCAGCCTAAGCAGAAGTACACAGTCCCTTCGGAAGTAAGAATTATGCGCACATTAAAATAGTGGTATCGGTTTAAGGAAAAGCGATGTCGGAAAAAAATCGAAAACATAACTTCAAATAATTTCAATAGCAACCTGAGGGTTTATAATTTTGCACGCAAAGGTAGTGTGGTGTGGTAGAAGACATGTCCGTGCCGTCAAGCTGTAGGTCAACTAAGCACTAGCACTGAAATGCGATTTGGTGAAGGCACAGGGACCCGGTGGTCAAAAAGAAATAATTTCGATCCCCCCCCCCCAATCGTCTATATGATGCGGTGCAAATCACTGATCAGGAGGTTTGACTATGCGGGTAATTGGCCACGCAAGCAGTAATAGACGAATTACGGATTGGAGAGTGTGTGTGTGTAGGGGGACCGTAATCAGCACATAAACGACGGAGGAAAAATGGGTGAGTTGTCCGTAGTGGATCGCAGTACACAGCCCTAATTTGATGTGAAAGTTTTGCTGGACAATCGTGATAGGTGACGACAGGAGCGTTATAAGTACAGCAGAGGATATGAAAACGCCGTGACAAAATGGTACATCTTGTAATCAATAGGCCGACTAGAGAGAGGCACGATTGACTGAAATTGAATGAACACTTTTCCGTGCTGTACAGTTCTTGAATTCCGATTCATTCGTCGCAAAAACCGATTCCAACGGAGAGCTGTAACGCATCGCGAATAAGTAAATACTTGTTTAAATGAGCTCGCAACGTTGCGAATAGCCGTGAGGCCTGCTCAAGATGCCGAGTTGTGATAGCAGCTTATGAAGGGTAGACAGTATAAACGGGTCATCAAAACATTCCAAGCAGCATGCGTACACACTTCAACTATGGATTTGCTATCCTGCGATTGAGGCCGTGCGACACCAGAGCTTATTATAAGTGTCAAAGGAGCAAGAAGAAATCACATTTTGACAGAATATACCGAATTCAGTAAATTCGCGTCTTTTCCTTAGCTGTTTACACACAACTTGGGGAAAGGACAAATTACATGGCAAAAGCAACCAAATAGCCGGTAGCCAGCTGCGAAGCAATAGGAGCCTCAGGGAGGTCACTTCTTCGTGACCATGGGCGCCTTGGTCCTGGGTGCCTTGGTAAAGTGTTTAAAATTTATATAGAGAATCGCTTATTATCATTACCACTACTAGTAGTAGTAGTAGCAGTAGTAGTAGTAAAATTCCTTATTAGTGAAGCCATTACGGCTATGTGAAAGCGAAGCCGTCTATGATGGTAACCCCGAAACAGTGATGGTCAGAGGTGTGAAAAAATCTGAGATACTTAACGGGATAATGCTTCTCAATGCGTTTATGGATGCACAACGCGAGGAGAGACCGAGTAGCCTACATAATGGGTGATTCGAAGTGGAATACATGAACCTTTCCAACCACATTCTCACTTGTGATATAGACAGAAAAGCGAGGGATTTAACCGAATCAACAGTAGTCAGATTGAATAGGAGTAGCCCATAAAATATACCCAAGTCAGATAACATTGGACCGGGTGAAAGGACAGACGAATATCACGGTCAAGACGGATGACATAAGTGAAATTCAGCGAAACTTACGACATTGTACAAACCAATTGTCCAGCGTTCGAATACGATTTGTCCGGAGAAGCCGCTCAAGATAGCGAACCAGAATTGAATCACATAAAGACAAACATTCTTGTAGAACGAATACAAGATCAGCTTCGTCAACCGGTTGTAGTTCCATGCACCGTGGACAAGAAGTAGCTTGTTCAAAAATCGAAACTGACCAATCGCGTAGTCGGAAGCGCAGGCCGCTTGCATTCCCTCCTTGCCACTGATACCTACTCCAACATGAGCGGCCTGAGAGTGGATGTATTCAAGAACTTCAGTATTTTGTAATAACAAATGCGGAGTAAGGCAATGACTGGTGAACACCAGTGCCATAGAGGATGCAACGGTCAAGAAGCCTTTTGAGGTAAATCAGTAGAACACTGGAGTTAACAAGAAAGCCGAAGAAAATTTAGCGTAAAGCTAGATCCAAGACCTATTTGGAAAGTATTTTGCACCGAATAGTCAACAATCGATGCCTGTTCGTCATTCGGCTTGGCAAAACTGATATTTTACCGGAAAGTGGTTAATATTAAAAACAAATCATCTGCGACGTGTTGTGGGCCACAGCTCAAGTGCAGTAGAACAACATTTCAGGAGAGCGAATGTATGGAAAAATATCCGGAACCAGCATGAGATGGCGATCAGGATGATTGGTATGAGAAGCAACTAGTCGCAAACCGAGGTGGAAACGAAAAAGCCTAGCGAGTTAGTATAGTTAAAAGAGATGAATAGATGGTATTACTTGCCCGTAACAATGCACTACGTGATACACAAACTCGAGACTTTCGGGAAGTAAATAGAAACCTTTATCCATAAGCCACCGAGTAATGGCAGATAACGTCCATCGCAACGGTTAACAACTGATTGGAAGGACCATTTCGAAGTATTCTTTATGTGAATGGATTGCGACACGCAATTTCAATGTGGATCGCAGTGTAGTGAAATCGGGTCAATCAGATGCGTGGGCCCCAGCCCTCCGGCCGCGGATCAAATGGTACTGGGCCGCCCAAGAACTATTAAACTATTTCCATTTTATTTACTGTGGTGTATTGCTCTCTGGATTGTGCGACTTTCCATGGACGAGAGCTTAACCGAAAGCTGAGCGGTTGCGAGCGGTAATGGTGTTGTATCTTTGGTGGAGAGGCTTTCAAACGCTCTTCTCTCCGTTCACCGATATTTTCTCATGTTTAACAGTGCTTGGTGCATGCGCATATTGTGTTTTATTTTTGCCCCTTTTCGTCCACATTTACTATCCCAGCTCGGCTATCTCTACCTGATTAGTCCAAACCAGGACGAAACCGTCGGTCGTGGGGTGTAGAAATGGGAGAGAGCCACACCGAAACCCTACATTGAACGTTGTTTTATTTTCTAGGTTAAATCTCGGTCAGTTGAGTGCTCATATGTAACCGACAAATTAGCAAACATTGGTACGAATCAGACGTCGTTAGAAAGGTCCCTTGGGAAAAAGAAATGGCTCGTTGAAGAGACAGATTAACAGCCTACAACATCAAAGAAACATAAAACTTTTACCAGACAATACCATGAGTCCTACTTGAAATATGGATTTATGGGGACAGGTGATTCCCACATACCAATCCCGCTCTGCACATTTTGCGGCGGCTGGCTCTCTAATGAGGCAATGAAACCTACAAAATTGCTTCGCCAACTGAACGCCAAACACTCTGGATTAAAAGATAAGCCCCTGGAGTAATTTGAAAGAAAACTGGAACATGAGGGCAGAAGAAATTTCTGGGCCACCATATCAATAAAGGAGAATGCACTGAAAGCACCATATTTGGTGGCTAACCGTATTGCTAAGGCTAAAAAGCCATTCACTATCGGTGAAGAACTGATGTTGCCTGTCACTAAAAAAATTTGCCGTGAAATTCTAGAAGAGGCTGCCGTTAAAAAAAGATAGCGCATGTGCCTTTGTCGGCTAACGCTGTGACCAGGCGAACTGAGGAAATAGCCGAACACATTGAGGCACAATTGTTGGACGAGTAATATGTTACCGTGGTATGCACTCCAGGTTGACGAACCTATAGATATTGACAACAAGGCTTGCTTATGTGCGGTATCTTTGCCAACCAACCCCACAGGAGCAGAATTGCACACCAGAATTGCATACCAGGACAACTAAAATGGTCATTTGTGTCGGCATATGCACAGACGGAGCTGCAGCCATGGCCGGACGACTGTCTGGTTCAACTTCGGATTAAGGAGGTAGCACCAGAAGTGAATCTACGCATTGTGTCGTGCACAGGTTAATGATGACAGGCCGAAAAATGTCACCGAGATTCCGCTGCTTATTGATTGATGTCGTTGAAGTCATTAACCCCATTAAAGCACAGGCCCACAACTCGCACCTATTTGGGCAAGTTTGTGAGGAGATAGAAGCAGATCACAGATGCCTCCACATCCAGGGGAAAATCACCAACATAAGTATGAGAATTTCGAGAGCCATTGCAAAAATTTCGCTCAGAAAAGAAATCACCGCTGGAAGCACATTTCGGTAACAAAAGGTGGGTAGCAAAACTGGCTTACCTGTGTGACATATCAGCCTGCTCAATTAACCTAGTCTATCAATTCAGGGGAAAATAACAACTGTTTTCAAAATGACAGACAAAGTAACTGCATTCAAAAAGCCAAACTGGAGTCGTGGAGACAGCGCGTGAAGAAAGACCGGGAGTTTAGGCGAGACTGACCCAGTGCATTCATTCTCCCAGCTGGTACACGATCACCCGTCTTTGCTTTTAAAAGAGTTCGATCGCTGCATCCCAATCCCAAAAGACCCACGAAGTGGTAAGAAATGGATCCGAGACCCATTTGTCAACAAACCAGGCGAATCTAGCATGCCTGTGCAAGAAGAAGATCAACTGCTGGAGATTGTAAGTGACGGCGGTCTTAAAACTGCGTTCAAGACAACAAATCTACCGGTGTTCTGGATTAAAGTCATGGCGCATTACTCTCAGATTGCCACCACAGCACTTAAATCACTATTGCCATTTCCGACATCCTACCTGTGTGAAGTGGGGTTTTCTGCAGTGACAGAAAGCAGAAGTAGATAACGGAATAAAATGCACATAAGCAACATACTTCGAGTGTCAGTGTCTCCTACTACACACGGATGGAACAGTCTCGTTGCAGAGAAACAAGCTCAGGGTTCTCAATGAGTTAGCGTTCTAGTGAGTTAAGGTTTTAAATCTGTTTATGTTTAGTTTTGGTTTAATTTTAATTTATTTTATGGCATGTTTAAATAGAAATAAATAAAAACATTAAATAAAAACCATCCTACATATAGATAATCAACGCCCATCCTAAGCGGATCGCGAAAAAGTTATCAAATGTTGACCGGTCCACGGCGGTAAAAAGGTTGGGGACCATTGAATTAGATCATTGGGACCGCATGTGTAGTGGGATTGCAAGGGAAAAACGCCTCTGTCTCAGACACGGTTCAACTGGTCGAATCGGTTGAGGCCCACTTCAAAGTGAATAGAGCCCCAGAATGAAATTGTGTAGCGCAATCCATTCACATAAAGAGTGCTTCGAAGTGACCCACACAGACTCAGGAGGTAGGCGCTGTAGCCACCACTGCCATGCTGCATGTCCGTCAATGGATGACGTGTGAGTTCAGTGCACCGCGTACCAGTGTGTAGTAGCTACGGGTAATGATTGGTAACCAGCAACAACTGAAAAGCGGAAACGGCATATGAATTTTACACTAACGATGATTGCCAGGGCACAAAATGAACTGACAATAAGCATGAATGGCGATGTCCGCACGAGTCCAGGGAACGATGCGTTTCGCAAGCCTATAAAATTAGACGTTGGGTCTATCTGCCAAAAGTTTAGATGACGGTTTGAAAAGCGGAAATTCGAGACCGCGACTGTAAAGACCACGAAAAGGTAAGTTCACTAAAAGATGCGGGCGACAAGCCACTCACTAAATGCTAAGCCAGAGGAATAAGGTTTTATGCTCTAGAGCCGATGCGGATAGGTGATTAGTGGGCAATACTACTGGGTAAAGTAATATTCACCAAACCAAAATGCATCACGCACTAACCGAAAGCCTGTTGTCTTGGTGCTCATCGCCTTTTAGGACGGGATCAGCGGGATCAATCACAGTAATGATAGGAAAAATTTATTGGACATAGTGATGTCACGGGGTGGATGGCGCACTCACATTCCGTTCGTGCAGTTAACTGCCCGATCTGACGATGTTGGGTAAATTTGTTATTGCTTCTACTCCTATAATTATTGTTTTAGCGAAGTATGTTGACGCAGCTGGATGCACCTCAACCCGGTGCACGGATCAAAGCTTGTAAACTGAACTGAATGGTACCGAGAAGTGACCACACCACTTCAGCCCAAGATACGATATGAGAAAAGGCATTTAACGATTATAGCACTCGATAGATTCGATCATTATGAGATCAGCATAAGAAAATTTGGGAATTATAAGTGCAGCAAGCAATGTGTATGCGAGAAAATATCCAGAGCAAAGGGAGACCGTGTAACAGGAAAATCGTTGAATAATACGGAGAGAGAAGACGTTGTGATGCGGGAGAGGCAAATGTAGAGGAACCGCTCGAAATAAACGATCGACCAGCGGTGTTTCGAGTTTAGGAAAGAGGCACGTGTTAGAAATGTTTAACTCGCTCAGGAGAGAAGAAAAAAGACTTTGTACAACACAAGAGAAGCTAATGCCTTTGAAAGGATCCAGGTTAAGTCCACCGGCCTACGTGATGCGCGACATTTCAGGGATTGTAGGAAGAAATACGCGATATAACACTAAGCTTCCATCTGTTCAGTGCTTGGACAATTTGTGTGCAGGCCAACCGTTACGAGATTTTCCCCACAGCAGACACGAAATGAATTTGGGCGCAAATGTAGTCCGAACATGTGCCAAGCGAAGAGCGAGAACACCTATTTAACATATTGCGATGACAGGAGAGTGAATGATTTCTAAATCTGAAGCGGACATACTACGATGTATATCCATTCAGTAGCAAGTAGGCTGGCGTTTTCCAGACACAGCAAGTGGTAGCAGTTGCGGAGGTGAGTTCGAACAGTAGCATACCAGTTTGTCTCGTAACTATACCCAGTGGGAATTAGAGAGAAACGAAGTGCAGAACCAGCGAGCAGTAATGATGAGAGATGTACAGTGCGTGGTTGGGGGGTGTGGGATGGAGTAAGTCGTTCCTAAGGACACAGCCAAATTCAGTTAACTTGACAATTGAAGTAACCTGGGACAGGTGAGGCTACGTCAACACAGTGGTTATTCAGAGTGCAAAAGGGACCGGAAGGATATCACATGACGTGTAAATATCGAAAAAACGATTGATCGAAGGCTCACCTGGATCATACCGACGTCATTCGCTCCGTCTCCAATGGCCAGGGTGACTGCATTTCGCAACGACAATCGAACAAGCTTGACTAGTTCAGCTTTCTGCCATGGACTGACACTAAATAAGGAAAAGAATAACAACGCGGAAAAGAAAGCAAATGAAATATTAGAAAACCGAGGAAATGTGGGGAGCGTAGAGAGAAGACATCGAGAGAAGGAGAAGAAGCATAGCATGACACGGCACCATCGATCTGTGAACTGAGCAATCGTAATCTCAACAATGGTGATGGCCAAATTCAACAACTAACAAACACTGTAAACACAGTCAGCGCGGCGTTTCCGAGGGGGATGAAGATTTCCAATATCGTGCCTAGTTTGAGGGGAATAATCACTGGCAGGGTGTAAGAATATAATCGATCGGTGTAAATCTACTGCAAGTGCCTCATCACAATCCATGAAGTAGGGATTAAACTGTTCGAGACGAATAAAACGCACAAGTGGACCAAAAAGTGAGTTAGACAGATCAGTTAGTTCATAAAAAAGGTAAAAGTTGGCAGAGGGCGGGATGATCCGCAGAACTAAGCTAGATAACGTGGAGCATGCTTGGAAGAGATCGCGATGCCATGGTGTAATAATTTGAAAGCAATCGATTAGTACTTTTTTTGGAAACATTTTGATGTTGGCAAAGAACTTGAGTGAACAATATCCTCTACGATTGATAATAGTCGTTGATTGCACGGTGATAGGTACTACCTAATGACGAGCTTGCATAATGATTTAGCTATGATCCGGACTCATGGAATTCTGAAGAGCAGATCCAAAGGAATATGAATAAAACTGAACTTTGTGGACAATCGCGTATATATTGGAAGTAGAGCTGAATTCCGCTAAGATCGCTGGTATTACTCTGCAGATCACTTGATGCGGAAGTTCAACTTAACACAACTTGAGCCGATGGGTATCGGCTGCTGTTCTCCCGATAACACCGCACTTCAACAATGTACAAAGGCAGCAAGCGCTCAAGCCCGGTGGCCTTGGGGCCTTAGCCGAATATATATATATATATATATATATATATATATATATATATATATATATATATATATATATACAAAACACGCCCAATAAACATTTGGCAGTGTGCCACAACTGTTTAACTATGCTTTACTGCGGCAAACTGCGACAGGATGAGCTGGCTTCATGAATGTCACGAATTGCAGCTGCCCAAGTGCGGCTCAAGCTCCACGCAGATACTGATCTAATGATTCCTCTAGTGACGAGCGCCATGCACAACATCATCATCATACACGTTAGCTAGAGGTGGGAAACACCTCAGCTACTGTGCCGCAACCATGCACAACATAAAGTCCCAGAAAATGGACATCCGATCACACTGCAGTGAGCCGCTTTTTCAATTACCCACCACGGCGACGACAACAACTCTGACAAGGAGAGGGTGAAACCATGGCCCTAGTGAAGTCAGTGTCTGGTTTGCGGAAGACTTGACCGAACCACTAAAGTCTGACTACCACGGATTTCGTCATTGGTGATACGTCCATGCCACTGCGTTTTCAAGATAAGCCTTAGACACCAATGGTCGAAGACTTCCAGCTTCCGGGTGTCTTCGGGTTGCAGCGGCCATGTTTCGCAACCATAGAGTAAAATGACACGAATGGTTGCTGAGAATACTCGGATCATTGTTCCATCCTTCGCCATAACGTGTTTCTCAGTTGTAAGAAGGCTGTTCTAGCGCTGGCAATACGATTCCGGAATTCAGATGCAGCCTGATCCTTGGGGAGTATAGTGGATCCACGAAACTTGAACTCAGGAACAGATGTGATGAATTTTCCATGCAAGGAGAGCAATGGGGCGAACTGAGAGGCTAACGATGAGAAGGATTTCGTCTTGCTGATGTTAATTTTGAGGCCGATCATAAAAAGGCTGATTGATCGACCCGATTTAGCAGGGACTATAGTAATATAGCATCTTCCGCAAGGATAGCGATATCGTCAGCAAATTATCGATTTGACAGTCAGGAGTCAGGGTTAACCTGAACATCATGATAGCCCTCAAAGGCATGATACATAACCCAGTCGATTACGAAGTTGAACAGCACTGGAGAAAGTGGGAAACCCTGCCGGACTCCAGTATTGATGTCGAATTCCGCTGTTTCTTCTCCATAGACCCGAATCCGAGCCTTCGTGCAACGGTAGTGTGATCTCGTCAAGTTAAGGAGTTTATCCGGCACGCCATCGGCAAGTAGGATCCCCCAAAGTGCTTCGCGGTCAAATGAGTCAAAGGCAGTGCGAGAATCAACAAAGCACACGAACGTGGACTGCTGGAACTGGTAGCGGTGTTCAGATACTCGATGTAGAGTGAGAGTGCGCCACAACACACGAGTAACAACAAAAAGGAGGAAGAGAGGGAGTCAGAGGAAGGGGTGCGAAGTTCCATGTGCTGTGTGGGCAGCGAGCTTCCCGGTTGCCCAGGCCGAGGAAGGCGGTTGACTTAAGGGACCCCACTCCGAGCCTTTGGTCTCAAAGACCTGACCAGCAAGACAGCGGGGCGAATAACAAGCCCGTTGACAGCCAGGTGGTTCATTTGCCTTTTTCGTGTTTGGTTGCAGTGCACAGAGAAGCCGGTGACCAGCAAAGGTGTTCATCTGCCGTCCGATAGATACTCCCATCCAGTTACAGAAGTGAGTGGTAAGTGACCATTTAATGCGAAGCGCGGCCCACCGTCAGATGGTGCTTCGAAATCCACTTACACAAAAATTGCATGGGAACATTCTTTCCATACAATAACACAACTTAGTTGATAAGCAATGGCGCCTATATCAGATTGAACGAGACTCAGTTGCAATGGCTTACGTAGTGTTGGCAGAAAAGAAAGAGAAACATTCGAATCGTAAGAAATGCACAACATTAAAAGACATCGAAGCAGTAGGATGAAGAAGGAAGCGTAACTGTAAGGATCACTTATATTTGCAGCCGTGTTACGTCAGAAGAGTCATCCAACAGTCGTCGTCATCATCAATCCAAGAATGCCATCCCGAAAGGCAACATGCAACAACACGGATCATACAATTAATTTCAGCGATGTCACTGAGTGGTCAGCTTACGCTTCATGAAGTGTTCGCAAGTAATACACACCGTGGCGACTCCCCGGTAAATGGGGGGAGGGATATAATCTAACTAGCAGCACAGGTAGTTAAATCGGATGGATATTACAGTGCGGCACTGAGAAACCGTATAAGCATGACGTTCTGTCCAGCTATGAGAAATACTCCGACATCGATGATAAAAGACGAGCGATCTCTTAGTATCCCCAAAGCGCATACGGACAGCGCAGCCCTGTACAATCGCTTCAATACCCATAGACGTGTATACCATTATCCTCCCTATATGAGTGTGACTTTTGAAATGTATGCGGGCTTCAATGAGCTGTAGGGTGGTCTCCACAGTGATGTGACTACAAAGGGATATACGGTCAACAGAGTGGTCAAAATCAAACGGATTGGAATGTTAACGGGCAGATGCAGTAGGCCGAACGAGTGAGCACCATTAACTAGACAAATGCGCCACGCTGGATAGGGTCTCCAACTAAATGCGGCCGATGCAGAGGACCCCATCCGGGGAAGTGGCACGTAGAATTTGATGTGACCTGTCGGTCAATTTCTACATATCTTTATGGACACCATCAAGTAGTCAAACTTTGGTTTGACCCAATCGGGCGCAGTGACAGCAAAGTAAACGGTTCAAGTGCGGTAGACGCTTCAATGCAGCACGAGATTCCCTTTAAAACACAAAGTGGTGGGCTTCAGTGTTTCTCACCCGGTAGTCACACGAAAAGCGAGCAATTCTCCGAAAGCACTGGGGCCGAATCTCTTATTCACACGACAACAGACATTATCGCAGCGAAGTAGAAATTATCTGGTTTTTTCGTTTTTTATGACAATAAAAGTCGATTTTCTTATAGCAAATATTTTATTGCATGATATATTCCCCATTCTGGTCCAATGCCGTTTGCCACCTTTATGTCAGTAGCCTGTCCTTTGCTGACAAAAACGGATCCAAATGCTTTTTGATCTCTGCACTTGAAGAAAATGTTTTACCGTCTAAGAGATTTTGCAGAGGCGGGAACACATAATAATCAGGAGACCGGTTCTGGAAAATATGGTAAGTGTAGCAGTATATCCCATTAAAGCTGTAAAACCTTTTAGCGAGTTACCAAACTTGTATGAGGTGTCACGTTGTCTTGGTGGAACACTGCATCTTTTCTACTGACCAATTATGGTCATTCCTGATTAAGCGAATCACTCAATTTGTCCAGCTGATGACAGTACACTTTAGAATAGATCGTTGTGTTGTCCGGTAGAAGCGCATAAAAAAGCGATTCCTTTGAAATCCCCCAAAATACATAGCATCATGTGCTACTGATGAATATCGGCCTTCGAAGTGGTTTGAGGCGCTTCATTATTTTACTTCATGATCTCTTGCGTTTAACACTGTTGCAGACAACCTATTTCTCGTCCCCTCTGATGATGCGCATCAAAAACCAATCATTTGCTTGACATTTGAGAAATAAATCACAGATGTCAAAGCGAGGACACAAATTTCTTTCCTTAAGAACGTGAGGTATCCATATGCTGAGCTTTGAGAATAAACCTATGCGTTGCAAATGATTACGAACGGTCGAATTCGATAAATTAATTCCCTCAGCGATCTCAAGAGTTGCTGTTTGTCGGTCTGCATCGATTAATGCCCTTATTGTATTTTCATCAGCTGTTACTGGTCTTCCAGAACGTTGTGCATCTTTAACATCAAAATCTCCGGATCAAAATTTTGCGAACCAGCTTTGGCCCTGGCGTTTTGTCATTACATCTCTATACACATCTGAAAATTTTGTTTCTTGCTTGGACAGCATTTTTATCTTGATAGCAAAAACCTAGAATATGACGAAAATGCTGCTTGCACTTGTTTGAAAGTGCACCACCCAAAAACTAATGCGTAGAATTTATCGAACTTTCTCATAAACAATCCTTGCTATATCAGCTGTCAAAATAGATAATGATTATGCGGCTTAAGTGCAGTTGACTGTGAAAAAATTAAAAAAAACTAAAAGGCAGAAAGATGAAATTACTTTCCGAACAGCCTGCCATTTGCTACCCCTAAAGAAGATTGGTTCACTGAAAAGGCGTACGGTTTCACCTATACACGAAGCAACTTACAAAGTGATCTGACCGACAGAAGTGATACCGCTACCAACGTACATAGGTCAATCGACAAATCGCAGTGGTTTTTCTATGACAGAAAGCACTAGTGGCGTGACAACCTAGTCCTGCACTAGTACCTCGGGATTTGAACGTACGAAGCGCACGTTGAAGGATGCAACACTGCGTGTCAGAAAATCCAATGGAGCTTGCACAGCCGCTGGGTCGAAACCAAGGAGATATAAATTATCTACCAGCACAATGTTTGCCAATTGTCCATTCAGAAGTTTTACTCCATAAGTGGCAGAGATGACGGTCATTTGTGATCAACTCGATCACAAAGATGAAGTGGGAAGGGGATACGGGGCAACCCCGGCGCCACGCGTACTAAGCAGACAGCTTTCAGCAAACACCTACCGAGCAGTAGAGATTTCACAATAAAAAGGATCATCTTTACACATCCTTAGGAGAGGGGTAGCACAGCCTAGAATGAGCAAGAGTCCCAGGTTGTTTGATGTCAAAGGAATTCAAGGTACTAAGTCAAGTGTACGCGTATCGTTGTTCCAACGTATCAAAGAGTAAATATGCAAATCCTAGACGAGTGTGAAAGTCCGCCTGGTGCTGTTTCAATTAGTATGGGGACTAGTGATTCAACGCGGAAGTAAGAAGTTCGGATGCAATGAAAACAAAGATAATGTCGCAAAGATCTTCGCAAAAAATCCTTTGACTCAGTTGGGAGATGGGGATAACCGTTGTCAACCACCCACACTCCAGGTAAGGATAAATAAGGTATATAGACCGGGCATCAACGGGTCAACAAGTTCCGACAACGACAGAGAAAGGCTATTAGATCCAGATGTTATGGTTTTGTCTTAATAGATTGGCTTCACTTTGATGATCATCTACAAAAAAGGAGACGGCAATGTCCCGCGCGGGTTCGGATGATTCGGTAGACGGTAGCGTCAGCAAAGTTATTAGACGGTCTGATTGAGGTGAGTGTGAAGTAGGCAGCTGTCCAACTACCTCAGCTCTTGTCACATTAACTGGATTTGTGCTACGACTCATTCGAGTCGGCACTCGGATGTTCCCCGAGCTCATGGGTTATTGCTATTCATCAAGTCCTACGGTCAACTATGGGACGATTCGTTACATATAACATCAGGATACTACAGATGGAATTATAATCCCCACTTCAACTGAACTAATCAGGCCCCAGAATGCCACACCTTGTTCCGATACCAAGGCTGGACGGGTCATCGGCTTGAAATGTCGTTATTTAGTGAAAGGAGAGACTCCAATCGGCATTCTCTCGTTCCGTCTCCCTCATCGGATAATTCAGCGATTCCGCTGCTTTTGGATAAGAGGAACGTGGCAAATAAGTAAACCGCCAGTTAGGAAAGTGATAGAAGCCAGAATAGTGAGCACTACGAAGCTGCCAGGACCGCATCGTCGAAATTGAAGTAGATGCAATAGATAGAGCTACAGCCCCGGACAGATATGCGTAGTTTGCGGCTGGTGTTAAAATCAGGCTGAAGATACTTCAGATCGTTCAGTGGACGATAGGTAACGAGGCGAGCATTTGCGTTGCAACGTTGTTCTCTTTATGCAGAGTTCACGGAATGTGCCCAGTTGAAATAAGCAGTCACCATTTCAGATTTAGTAAGTGCCGAATCAAAAACGGCGGCCGCGTTGTGCACTGAGTCCTATTGGCAACCGACCTAAGCGTTCACATCCCTCGAAACGATCCCGGCATCCGAAATTTTGTCCACTCGAATTGTGGAAGGGAGCCGCTTTTAAGATTTACTTACGATAATCATATGACTTAGTCGGTGAGAAGGCAGACCGAAACCACAAATAGGCGTCATGATTTCAACAGCTGCATAGTAACTTCGAGGAAAACCAAAAAGCAATCAGTACACATACAACTGCTCACTGGGATCCATACACTGGAGAAGCGCGACATGAACTTTAGTCGAGAATGACAACGAAAAACGAAATGTAGAGTCACGCAATAAATAACAAAAAGTGAGAGCTACTAATTAGAGTTGGATAGCCACATATATAATGGACTGAGCTGGTTTCCTCGTGGGGCTTTCCGAAGAATTAACGGGAACTGCTCTAACACCAAGGAAAGATGTGGATGATAACGTCTTTGAACTATGATGGTGCTGTGGATAAGGGACATAGTGGAATAGTGACCAACACCAACCTATGCGATGCAAATCAGCAACGTGGATGGTGAATAAAAGGAATTTGTTCATTCGGCCCCGTTAGTGTGGTTAAAATCGGGCACGCCTAACAGAGAGCGGCTAGCTACATCTCTGATGAAGGGTGAGACCATCAGACTTCGCGGTCTCTCTTCAGGCTAGCACGCAGTTTAGCCCTAAGAAGTTTGCGAGTCTCGTTGTGTTCGCTTCAAACAGGAACACATCGGCGAGTACACAAAAGTTCCAGAGACTGCGCAGAGACCCATAATCCAAATTGACAATTGTAATTGTCACATGAAGACATGCTTGTGGCTAATAACGGCTGGTGGATATGCATCCATTGAGCGCTAACTCAGCTCGGATGCCAGCGTACTTTGAAACACCTGGCTTCGCCAGTTGGCTGGTGTCCATGCGCTCACAGTGAGTTTGCGGACGTCTGCCAAAACGCACTCGCAGATCGGCACATACAAGAGCATGATCGGAGTACACCCTCGTGCTCCAAATCGAGCAGCAGTTTTGGACACAGGCACTCCAGCAGCAGCTGCTTATGATGCGATCGGTTTGTGTCCGTGACTGGTCCGAGGCTGGTGAGTACTATATCATCATCCGGTGTGTGCTGTGTAGGTGAGTGCTCACGAGAAATAGACCAGCGCCTTCACACAACTGTAGCAACCGCTCACTGTTATCATTACGGGAGCGTACACCGCGTTAGCCGCGCTGTGGACAGTTTCCAACTTGAGCGTTCAGCAATGCAGTAGCCGTAATTTTTCCGTAACAAGGGAGCTCGTTCAGTTGGTGATAAAAATCATCTTCCACTGAGTCAGTGCTACAGCTTGTTGGAGTGTAGATCGCTATGACAAACAGATACCGTTCGTCTGCGCACGACTTATAAGCTATGGACGAGCTAGCCAATCTGACGGCGCATATCAGGCTGTTGCTTGGGATCCAGTTTACTGAGACAGCTTCAGTCCGGGGATTCCGGGAGGTGTTCACACCGGGTTGACCGGTATTGGAAGTTGTGTCGTCTCCGGAAAAGCGCATTGCGAAAGTGCTGTCAGTGTCGCAGGATAAACACAGAGCTCGAATCTTGCAGGCGTGATCTCGATCGATAGTCTATCGTTTGGGTAAGCGCTGCCCGCTGGCCAACCTGCAATAAAGCGCGCACGTTGAGGCATTTCAGTCTTAGCAAGGACCGCGGGTTCTAAAGAAAAACGGATGAACCGATCTTGTCTACTTGGTTGGACAGTGAGTTGTCGACTAGGTCGAAGCAATGCTTGCGATTGCTTGTCAGCTGAAACTATAAGACAAGTGACCATTAAATCAAGATGGGGGGACAAGTTTCGGGGGGGTCAAAAACAGGGGGGATAAAAGTGAGTTGGAAGGGGACCAGAAGGATGAAGACGCGCAAGTAGGGGATTAGGGATATGGGAGGGCTTGAGCAGTAGCACCCTCATCCCTATCCACCCGGCTCGACACCGTCGATTATCTTCTGCGACGATCATAGGATGAATAAATCCTGTGGATAGTTCATTAGATGGTATTGCGTGAGCAGAACACTGTCAGGCTGCTCAGGCGCAGAGAACAGAACGGTTAGATTTCCCAAAAAAGCATACGGTTCAAAAACCTGACCGCAAGGCAGCGGAGTTGCGGCATTGGGTTACAGAGATTACGTTTTATGGAGTAAAGAGTCACCCCCATCTAACCCTCAAGTTGGGGGGTTAGACTGAGTTTGCCTGATCTCTAACCACTGACCAATCTGGTACGAATGGCTGTGAAGTTGCAAAAAGTACCACCCAACATAGGTCAATAGATCGCTGGGGCAAGCAAACCATTGCACTATGTCAAGATCCAGTCTCGTTGTGATGAGCCAAGACCCATGGGATATTATCACATGTGAGGGTTAAGATTGAAACGCGGAGTTGCTCTTCAGGATGGCTGCTTGACCTGCCCACATCGAATCACCAGAGCAGATGCCACAGACGGCGGTTATCTGATGGAAACCTCAACAGGTTTAGACACGGAAAAAGACAAATCGAAAATTTCGCAATTTTCGGTTATTGAGTAGTATGGGCGAATGCTAACGGATTTAACACAAACAACCCACAACTAGGGGTTTCGCGGGGGAGAGGGAAATCAGGTTTTACATATTTAAACGAAAGTCTTGCCCAAACATGAACTTACCGACAACAGATCACCGATTTACACGACAGGGCCACATCAAGGAAGTCTTTACGGCATTCGCATAGAAGTGCAAACTCTAAGGTCTGTGTAGGAGGAACAATGAAGCAGGGATGATAACAATACAGTGCTCGGTCTGATGGACATCGATCAAACAGTGAAAGACAAAGCGCCAGTGGTAACATTTCGCCAGTGCTGGGAAGCTAAATGATGATAAGGAGCTTGTTGGGTGCCTGAAACATCGTCCGGAGACGGAAACCGAGCTGGAAAATTGATTTAATTGGTGCTCAAATCTTTACAAAGCTTCCACACAGTATGCTAAAGATGCAAGTGAGAACAGCAGTGTATCAATCATTTGAACTGATGCTTTCCTGATGTACAACGACAATGACCTAAGGAATGCAGAGTAAGAAATGGGAGAGGAGACTAAGTATAAAAGTTAAAAGCGCTAAGTAAACAACAGTCAACAAACGAGCAAAAACAGCTACTTATTGTGTGAAGATAAGGGGCATCGGCGAGACAGTTTCCTTGTGGTTTTCACGGTCACTCATCATAATCGGCTACTACTCCAGCTAAATCAGCATGTGTATAATGTGTCCAGGTATTAAGACTAGGAGACGATGGCAAACACGTCAGATTTTATAAAGCCACGTAAAAGCCCAAGGGGGGTCGCATGAACTTACACTTGATTGGCGAGATGGACCGACTTGAATAGTCAATGACTTCATTCCCCGCTGCCAAGTTACCTTTCGCCCACATCGGGCATTCCGTCATCCAAGATCCGGCAAAAACAAGGTCATCCTAGGTAGGGGTGGCGCAGAACGCAGCTAACGCGACTTATCCAATGTTATTCATTGTTTCAAGGAACTAAGCTACCGCCGCTATTACAATCCTACGGATATCATCATTGCGAATACGGTGGTGCCAGTAGACATCATCAAGGCACTGCAGGCAACGAAACGCAAATAGCTGTAGGCACCTTTGGTCCTCAGACACGACGGGCCAAGTCTCAATTCAATGGATTAGGATGAACCGCACTGTGGCCATGTACACACAGCCTTTATAACCGAGAAAAAGCTCAGAAAGTTCAAGAAGCCGGTTCAATTAGCAGTAAATAGTCGCGCAACGATTGGAGAAAACTGCCGACTAGTACATCTATCTGGATGATTGTATTTGAGCCTCGGGATGAAGCGCAGGTGAGAATGGACGTCACTGCAAACGAGTCACAGAGTTCAGGATAGAGAGATTGTTAATTTACTCTTTTACATTTGCTACTTCAACAAAACCTAACTAAAGTGGAATGACAACATGACCACAATGACCGCTGGCCAAATCAGGTATACATAACCGGTGGTATTACCGATTTTTTTAATTAATGGTAATTTTGCATATTTGAAAATAATAGTGAGGCCACCTAATGGCCAGAGTAACCCACTACTTGCACAACTCGTGCATCAAACGCAGTAGGCTGATAGAAAAAGGTTGAGAGAACTTTTAGGGTAGTTCGAAGAGATTTGTGGAAAAGATGTTAGTAGCCACCAGTCAGGATTGTTGTGGGTTGGAATCCGCACGGGCTCACGGAGGATGCGCGCCCACCGATGAGCCCCAATGAGATGAGACGAGCGTTCAGCGCCATTCTGGATGGGCGGTGTCGGCCCACCGTGTCTAGTTGCGACGAATATCTTTTAAGAAACTCCGTCCCAGCCATCCGTTGTCACCTTAATCGTTCCAGCCGACTTATAATGCAGTTTGGAAAGAGAAGTAAGGGCAATGGGCGTTGATCCGGTATCCTATAAGGCAGTAACATGTGTGTTAGTGGGGAATGGGTCGGGTTATGTCCAGACAAAAATCAGTAATGGCAAACACTGTCGTCACTCGCATCAGATCGCCTAAGAAGTTGCACCGAAAGAGGAAGTTGGTGGGTTGTGAGCCCATAATTCGATGAGTTCTACTACAACGGAACTGCCCTCCAGATGTGCAATGGTTGTCTGACAGTATAGTTGCGACAAATGTGCACTAGCACAGTAAGGGAACCAAAAGAGTTGGGAGATGTCAGCAGTACATTTCAAAACTGAGCAAACTCTTTCAAGCATGATTCCAGACCGGCGAAACGCTGAGATGGGAAATGGATAGCTCACATGTCCGTCCACAATGAGAGCCAGGTCGTTCTCTGAGCGTAAGTTGTCACCCAAATCTTCTACCAAGTCGCGCAGTTGAGTTCGGGTCTGATCCAAGGAATTAGTGTTGAGAGTGACGAATTGAAGAGCGGGTGTCAACAGACGACAAGAAAAACCTGTCAAAGATGTAAACGTGAAAACTAGTCAAAGTCATTAGAAGAATAGATTTAATTAGATCAGTGAACTCCTCTCGCGTGCCCATGAGGATACGAATAAGCCTGGGATAAGGAAGTTAAATGCATCCGTGTATTGAATGCAATGTTTCGTCTCCAAGGTGAAGACGGGTATCTGTAGTGACTCAAGTTAAACAATAAACGGAACGGATGTTTCTATTACATGATTACAATCCCCGCGTATCCGGCCGGGAGGATAAGCTAGTTGTCGGGCACATTCCAAAGGTCAAACCTAACACGAGTGGTAACTCCAAGGAATATAGGAGAAAAGAAATCAGGCATTGGTCACCAGTCTGTTCATAGCAGAATCCAAAAACAGTAGAAACGACGACTAACAGGAAGTAACCACGAAGAAGTGAAAGATGATACAAAGCGTAAAAGTAAAAACAGCTATGAATGTGCCGGAAATGGTCATTTGACCCACTGTAATCAGACGTAGGAAGATGGACACAGAAATGAGCATCTCTCAGAATAGAATACCCTAACCGAGCATGGGCAGTGTGAAATGAGCTGTATAGTTAGATCATGTGATCATAAGTGAATGAACATGTGCACTTGTACATACTTAACCGTAACTGAGAAGCTGGGCAAAGAGAATGCAAAAGTGACCCTCGTCGTCTGTGCACTCAGTTCGACCGCTCGTAAAGTGTGCCGAGTAAAATCGGTTTAAGCTGATAACTCAACCAGCAGAAATTTCATAGGCATGAAATGAAAAACGCGCATAGTAATGACTTCCGAGGCCACAACGAAGGAACGAGTGCTGTGTTTCCGGTCATATCCCAATCGCTGCATGTAAACACAATTCACGTTAAATGACAGCCCTAAGGCAACACGTCGAAAAGGGGCACTGGAATCATGCTGTGTGAGATTTGCGTGTGAAACAGCCATTAAAGTGAATTTAGATCTAGCAGGATGAACTGATGCTGCAACAAACGTCCTTCGATAAAAGCCGCTTAGTTGCTGCGTCGCGTGAACCGTACTTAAACCCTTTTACATTTAGCATATATCTGGTAGGGGAGCGCTTGAGTGTGTCCGATGAACATTTGGGACCACAGTCGACAGGCAGTGTAAATGAAACATCTGCTGTGGCTAACGCCTCCCATGATATGAAGTGCATCATCAGATAATAAACACCGGGAGCTGTTATCAGTGAACATAGGGGTTTTCAAGCCCAAAGCATGATAGTTGCTACGCCTAATCATTGCGCTCATAAAAAACGTCGCTGGTGTACGACATCGAAGAAACAACAGCTTCTCCTTCTGCAACGGTGTCGCCTCTATTGTCGTTTTGGGTACCGACGAAACGCATAGCGAGGAGATGCGGGTCGAAGAAAGTGAGGGTATTTGTGTCTGCAGGAAAACTCTCCATTTGGTTGCAAGCTTTTGTGTGTTCGTCACGTCGACCACAAAACCCTCAGCAGTATACCAGTCATTACCTCGGCTAGTGCTAACATATGCGAAACAAATGGAAGTCTTTGGAGCGAGCAATATCAAATGCGATCCCAGTGACCGGAACAGTTCACTCCAAAGTTGGGCGTCGCAACCCTGTCAGATAGTGGGTACTCCAGACACTACAAGCAACAGGCAGTCATACTGTTTAACCGACAAACCCCTTTCACAGCCGTACGTGGCACGTTTTTAGTCTCGTTTCCCGATCTAACTTCAACCGCTCCAAGCCTGACGTGTTCGTGAAATGCTACCACTGGCACGCGAGATCAAATATTCGTATACTTTAGTGCAATCCCCGGTTCGACAAAATTTCGGTGAATGCATGGAGTACATGATAGCGTTCCGCTTAGCTACTAACGGTGAACGATATGTCATCTGTAACATAAAATATGTACGGTTAACCAGCCAATGCATCCATTGAGTGTTAGAAACATTGCAACTGGATACCAACTGTAACCACAGAAATAGTTCGATTCGTTAAAAAGTATCACATAGCAAAATGCAGATGAGGGCGAAAGTTGCGAAAAAAATTCACCCTACATTGTACCGGCAATATATTGTCGGGTAGTGGCAGGGTGTAGTACTCTTCTCTAGGCCATCGTGAGTCAATACAAGTCTGAATGACACAAGATGCCTTCGTAAGAACAGGTACTTTGAATGCCAAGTTACATTATAACACCTAATGCAGAAAGGAGCTGACATTAAGAAAAATGTCACGCTTCAGACAATGGACAGTTTTCTAGTAGTTTCGTTTAGTGACAGATGTGCACAAGCATTGGAACATTGCTCCACTTGAAAAAGAGGCATATAAATGAAGCAATTTAGTGGAGATGCCATCGCGATTGTTGGAGAAATGGCTACAAAAGAACTACGCACTTCGGTGAGTAAACCAACTCTCAAACAGCTGACCGAGTTATCAACCAGCAGTTTGAGGCATCAACTACCAATAAACGCATCCAGTAAGTCAGGATCCTGATCAATGTGATATGATTATCCAGACCCCAGCAAAGCGGTAAGGTGGGAAATTGCTGTGAAGCCAAAACAATCGCTACTCGTGTGAGATCACGCGATAAATTAGACCTGGTGCCGCGGAGGTTGCCTGAGTGCGTAAACTAATTTCTTCACTTCAATAGACAAAGCATGCGGTATCTGTAGAACCCGCTAGACAACGATTGAGCACCGTTCGGGAATCACGACTTGCTAATTCATTCACATGAATTCACTATATCTCTAGCGTTGACAGGGGTAACAAGTATCGTGTTAGAAATGTGTAACACCGAAAACAACTCTATCTTGGATGCGGTCCAAGTGATTCCGAGGATAGGGTCTAACCACAAAATGTTTGTCACAAATCAAATGTACAGCACCTAATCCAAAGGCTAAAACTAGGTCATTTCATTATGTGACAGGTTGCGACGTAGAATCTCGGAACATGACTGAAATCGATGGACAAAGCTGTGAAGTTTAAATAACACATTTGATGTGCCACATTAGCTCAAAAGCTGAAGACAAGTCCGTTAAGAGAAACCCGGTATACTGTGCTACGCCCGCTACGATCTCGCCTGTCACAGATACGCCAAGGCAAATCATTGGTACAAGTCGCTGAGAGGATGCTGCTTACGTGAATTTCATCAAGCTCAGTATAGAAGTGGGCCTCTGCTCGGCTCCCACAGGACGCTGTCAATGCTGCATTGGATAGATGTAGTTCCACTATCTGCTTATGATCCGTCAGTTAGGTCAGTTGAAAGATACGTTGTGCTAGTGTCCGCGGTCAGACACAAGATGGTTAAACCCGCTGCAGCTAAAGCTTTTCTCAGCCATTTGATTCCACAGCGTTTTCAATTTCCTCCATGAGGAAGTCATGTTCCTCCAAAGACTTCGCAAGACGGTCCTAAAGGCTATCAAATTGCTTCCAATGGACGCAAAAGCTTCTAAAATGTGTAATGCTCATACAGCAACCAATCCCAAATCAGCTGATAGTATAACAGAGGAGTACACAGAGTGGGACGTTAATGACTGATTTGGGATTGGTCACTAAATGGACAGTAGCATTTAGAGACGTTCGCGTCCGTTGGATACAATGTGATAACGTTAAGGACAGTCTTGAAAGATGACTTACTAATGGAGGAATTTGAAGGCGCCATGGAGGCAATTGAATGAAAAAAGATATGGAAAAAGTGACACTTATAGCAAGTACGTATCATTGGCTAAAAGATGTCGTTAGTACTATTCATGCTCAGCGTACCCACAAGGATTAAAACGCCGGTGATGCGTGTATGAATCGGCAAGTGTCCAGCGAAGTAGAGCTTTCGGAATGATAAACTGCATCAAGTAAAAGAAGTATAAAGACCTTGTTTCATTGGAGCACTGTAATCGAAATTACGCGGTTCCTCTTTCAGCTGATGTTCTACCGTTGCACTTTAGTGGAATTTGACAACTGACAAGCTGAGAGAACACTGGCAGGGAGGCAAATCAGTGGCCTACCAAGTAAGCCGCATAACCGAACGACCGTACCAGAAGTGTCCATAAAGTTCCCAATGGCAATGGATGAGAGGCGGTGTCTAGTTGGTTACAAACAGATCTGACACAACTGGCCGCCCCATTAAAGTGGACAGAAATGTATTGCTTTGGCGGATTTCCTAGGTCCATATTTAGAAGTTAGATATACATGACAGTCATAGTCCCGTATTTACCCAAATACCGGTCGTGAGCAAGAAGCTTGTCCAGCTGAATGGTTGCAAAAGGACGTGAATGGAAGGGATTGGTTGATTTCTCTTAATATATCATTTCAAACAGGAATCATCTGTTCCCTCGCAGGCCGAATAAGACATCTTCGTTTGCAAGGTTTATAGATAGCCATAAAGAAGTCCCTCACAAGCGACGAAGTAACGATTGACTGATAGTAAGCAAGCGCGAGCTATCACACTGATTCGTGCGTACACACGTATCAAAAGATAGTGGGCACCAAGATAAAAATAGTTAAATGAGTCATTCGCCTAAGTAAGTTGCACAATATATGATTCCAGTGGGATGAATAAGGAAAAGTCACTGCTGATAGCTCAAAGAATCGCGCAAAACTTCATCTCGAACAGTAATAAGGGGAGAAAGACAAGGTTCGACATGAGTGGCAGCTAACCTATGCTGTGGCTCATAAAGGTAACATATGGTCACTTAATTCCATCATACCAATCTCGTTGTGAAGTAGGCATTACGCTGAATTTGTAAAAACTCACTGCAGGCTATGGGAATTGGTTAATCGACCTAGCAACACATTGATTCTATTCCTGAAAATACGGAAGTCAGAGTGACTAGTAAGTCGCTGTGTCAACGGGAGACTTCACTGGATGTACTGAAGGATTATGACAACGGTATGTGTTACAGACCACCAAGACAACTGCACTGCGAACCACAGACGGTGGTGCGAACAGACATCCCCCATCCCGGAAGAATCGATCAAGTCGAGCTGTCATGAGGATAACATGAGCCACCGAGCACAAAAAGAGGCGAGAGGAGAAACATCACAAACCTATGTTGACGGCCGTTTCTTGTTTATCGCCTGTGAGCACCCAAATGGAGATTCCGGCTCTGCCCAAATTGGCAATCGTCTCAGGTACTCCGTCCTGCAATTTATCCTCAATAGCAGTGGCTCCAACCAATTGTAGATTCTGCGAGAAAAAGTACAGAGAGATTCAGTGAATCATAAAGGGTATTCATTTGATAATGTAATGTTATACCACTTGATCGAGCAGGATGCCAAAGCATCGAAAAATGACATTGATTGTGTGGAGACTGGGATAATGTACCGCGGGTGGAGTAAACTGCGGGATGCGTTGATCAAAAAAAGCGGATTTTGTACCCCAAAGAAAACAACTTCGACGTGTGGCAGATTGCAATGTAAGAGCCGTGCACAAAGTAGGAATCATAGCGCTTCCCGGTATGAGAACAAAAGGGGTGGAGCCTGGACTCAAAATCGACAACGGTAAACAATGGGCTAAGAGTTAGAGAGCTACGGTGTGCAAGACTTGTGATTCTAAAGGAGCGTTGGGTTCAGCACGTCGAACAACAGTTTGAGGCTTGCAGCAACGACGAGATCGCTTTAGGAATCCAAAGGGCCCCCTGGTTTGTGAGGGCCTCATCACCATTTGAGGCTGAGATTGCTTGTCAGCTTCGTTTCCTGAGGCGCTACAAAGCCCTTGGCCCAGACAAACTCTTCAAATTTTTTCAGAGAGTAGGTCCACACTTCATCCAGGTGTTACCTTCCCTGATATAAAAGATTTGGATTTGAATCCTGTCTATCTTCAGCCAAGCGAACGTCGTGTTTACCTTAAAAAGAGCGGCCGAAAAGACTGCACTGACCATCAAGGGACTGGTCGCATCTTGGTTGCATTTAAAGTGCTTGCCATCCTGCATATAAATGAACTCAGTGGGTGCGCAAACCAAAGAAACGCGAAGAGCGAACTGGGTTCCGCTCAAGTCGGAGCTGCCAGATACTTGAGCGTCATCAAACGTTCGGTAAATCAACGGCCGCCGTCTTCTTGTACGAGGCACCTTTGACTCAGGTGACCGGAGTACCCTCTGCCTCTTGAAGATGAGAGTCTCCGGGAAGCAAAAGCATACTGTTCAAGCAGTTTACTTTCAAAACTCGAGCCAAGCGCCGGTACATAGAGGACTTTCGCATCTCTCTAGCATCACCAGTGGGTGAGGTAGAATTGGTTAGCACCAATTTTCCCACGGAACTTCGCAATGGATGATATACTGGGAGGTGCTCTAGACAATTCCGAACAAAGAAATAGGACAAGAGGTGAACACTCCTTTTCCGTGATTCCTCATCAGGCCTGTATAATAAAATGAAGAAACTTACAGGGGAGGAGAACTGATCAGATTAATTTAAATGAAACAAATCATGTGCCCGCGAGGTTCATGGACCGATGAGCAACCTAAGCCAGGACAATTGCGTTTTCGATTCACTGCAATCAATGACGGCTGGTTTTCTGAACGAAATCATGGGCATCATTGTTGGCCCAATGTCAGTGAATGTTAGAAGCCAAATGGTGTGAAGCAGTACTCTCTCAAAATGCAGATGCATGGAGTGTAGCGCTAATATTTTTAGCAACTGGGTGGTAAGGTGGGGATCGCCCTACCAGTTGCACTCAGCTCGCGGAGCACAATTCGAGCGCACGCTCATGAGGTAACTAGGCCATTTGCGGCATTCGGAGGACACGCAAGACTGCCTACAACCCAAAGGGAAACGGACTAGCATAATTCACAAACTGCATGCTGAAGACGTTATTACAGGCCTTACTGATTACCGAGACTCATCGGGAATGAGACACGGTTCTTCTCAAATGTCTACTGGCTTATCGATCGTCCACTCATTGACCGGTCAAATCCCAAGCTTTATGATGACTGGGCGTGAATGGCGTCTACCCATGGAGAGTTTACTGTTAATGACTCCTTGAAACTCTTATCGCATCAGAGAATATATTCCGGTCGATATTTCGAATCAAGAGGCGTCATGAGGCTCCCAGGAGACCGACTTCAAGGATTTGGGGTATGCGGATGACGCCGACGCAATTTGTGATCTGTCTCAGACCATCCACTAGATACTGCGTAGGTTTGAGGCCAGTGTCTCCCAGCTCTTAACCCCCTACTCCTTTCGAGTGCAAGGTCTTCTAGCAACACTGGTCATGATCTGCACCTACTTTCACTCCTTCGGGCTATTCTTTGGAAAAGCTAGCGAACCAATTAACCTCAGGAGCTGTTGTACAGCTGAGGGATTAACGTACGAGGTCTATGCACATCCTTAAGCCTCGGTTTGCCTTCGCTAACCTCAACCAACTCTGGCGTCCATGCAACCCCAGCTCATCTCTGGAGGGCCGAGTCTACAATGTTACTGAAGGGCGGCACTGCCCCATGCTGTGCGACTTGGGTTGTTCGTGTAAAAGATGTTCAGAGACTGTCTGGTTGTGATCAACACTGCTCTTGGAGCAATGATGGCGAATATTAGAAACAATGACGTTCGTCGAAGGTTTTCTAATCAGAAAGACAACTGCTGAGCTGCAGTATACCACCGCGAAAACCTAAGGTGGCTTGGACATGTGTTTCGTATGCCGATTCCGTGCATATATTGTTTTTCGCTGTGTGCAAGCGCTGAATTCGCTGGAAGCGAAAGCCAGATGACCAACATACGACTTGGACCCGAAGTATGAATGCGTAAATTGTAAAAATACCCGTGGACTGGCATTCTTGACTCCCGGGTTGGGGAACGCGAGCATCCTGGATGGGAACCCTATTAGTCGCAGCAAGAACTCGTAATCCATGGTAGATATGTACTGAAGACATTGTCACGTGTTACAGTCTTCTAGGTTGTGCTACGGGGTGATGTCCCGGACGCCTCCTCGTGGCAACCGCTAAATGGGAGTTGGGTTACACCCTTCAACATGCTAAGATCCAGAACACAATTCCATGTGAGCCGGTTCACTGACAAATGTAAATCTGCTCGCTGCCTTTCGGGTGGATACTTTAACGTAGGCTTGATTGGGGACAACAGTCATTCTATTGTCAGGTGTGGGCGCCCCGAAAGTATCCTAGTCCAAACCCCAAATATGAATTACGCTAATAATTATAAATCCATGTGAGGCCCGGCTCGCTGAACATGAAGTTGGTACCGTCTATAGGTTCTACTGGGAGGGAAACGCCACCTCAGCATCATGTGAACATGAGGTGGGATTTGCGCTATCCGATCGTCAAAATAGTAAGCTAGTGCGTGAAGCACTGGCATCAGTGCGCGACTGATGACTGTTCGACTACGACTCAGAAGAGGTAATTTTGCCACTTTTATGAGCACGTACGGTCCGACCATGTGTTATCCTGATAACATACGTGATCAATTCCACTCTCAGGTATCCTCCGTGATACGGTCTGTGCCGAGGAGCGACTGACTATTTCTGATGGGTGACTTCAACGCGCGCGTGGGGCGTGATGCATCGGTGTGGACAGATGTCATCGGTCCGCATGGCATTGATTCAGCGGATGCGAACGGTGACATGCTGCTCTCACTATGTGCCACTCACGGCCTGACGATCACGAACACTCGGTTTACATTGAGTGCGAGTGAGGTAGCAACTTGGATGCACCCAGAGTGGGCACGCTCACTGATCGACTATGTCATTGTACGTCAGCGTGATATGCGTGAAGTGCGCATGACACGTGTACTGAGTGGAGCTGAGTGTGGCACTGATCACAAGTTGGTGTGGACCAAATTGTACATCTGCGTGCTGAAAAGTACCTACGGTGTGCCTGCACCGAAGTGGAATGTATGCAGCGGACTGCATACTTTTGCTGTGACACCTTAGGTGGCTCAGTTATGTGTGGCGTATGGATTCCACGCGGATACCGTAGCAGCTATTATATGGTCAGCTGAGTATCGGGAAGCGGCATGCGAGGAAATCGAAGCTTCGTTACCAGGACATGATCAAGGTCAGCATACCACGCTCAAACATTGGTTGTAGGTGTTGGAAATCCAAGGCTGTTGATCGGCGTGCATGGCGCAATTTGATCACAAAGGCAATTTCTGAAGTGCAGGAGAAAGTCCTCGTGCATGCAGAGAATAAGCTGCAGGTGAGGAAGTGACATGCACCGATAGAGTGTTCTCCATCGACGTCGAACGCATGCGATCGCGAGTGTCAGTCAGGCAGGCTTAATGATCCACGAGCGAGGCCACTCAGGACCAGCATGGAAAGGACGACGGGTCTTGCTGAGAACGTAAGCAGAACCGGTACATCGTTAGTAGGTAAAGTGCATGCGCTTCCATTCGATTTAGTAACAGCGTGCTTGCGTGCTGTTTTTTCAAGGTGATTGATTTCCTATGTTCTCCTAAAACTTTTGTTGTAACCTATTTCAATGTCTGCCTGAATAATTTTCTATTTACTTGTACACGTTGTTTAAAGGAAAAATGGTTAACTTCGTTAATTTTTTTCATGTTTTTGCATTTGGATCCCTTTTTCTGACATGGTGTATTTAGCACGGATTTGTGGATAACCCATTTATTTTATATGCCAAGTTAGCGGAGAGTTATGTCGGCATATCCGTATGCTTTATTCGACTTATTTTATTTGATATTGCTATTTCAAGTGATTGGCTGTCGCTTGACATCCCCGGTGTACCTGCGCTTGATGTGAATGTTGACAAGGCGCCTACCTGTCTAGTACCATGCGTCTCGATTACACTTCCTCCAGGAGACAGTTGGTCGTTGCTGGAGGGGACAGAGTGCACGGTCCAAGAGGCCGTGTTAGGCTCAAAGAGTGGTTACATGCATCCATTGTGGAACGTGCTACGGCCTAGCTACCGCCTTGCGTGCGTCTGGCACGCAAGGTGTCCCAATCAGGCATGAATGCTGATGCTGCGCATGTTGAAGAGGTGTGGGCCAGCTCCGTTGATGAAAAGTGGCTCCCATCCACATGCTTCCCAGTCGTATTCCTTTGGATTTACACTGGTAGAGTTGCCAGCGGTAGTGCGATCTAGGCATGGTCACTTAGTAGACGCAGACGCTGTTGTTGTTTGCGTACACAGTGGAAGGCAAATCTGGAAACGGATGCCACCAAACATGTGTTTTCTGGAGCAGACAGGGCATGACAGGTAACTCGAAAGAGCGCGTGGCAGTGTCAGCGAGGGGTTTAAGGGAGCGAAGCTCAAGTAAGTTGCGGACACGAGAATTGAAAAACCCAGCTGATCCGATTTGCACATAACGCCCAATGAAAACGATCATCGAAGTTGGTGGGCGACATATGTACCCACTGAGTCACTTCTATGGGTTGGAGGATAAAGATGAGCAGTAAAATAGTAGAGTTGATTCATAGTTGAGGAGCAGCGCCGAAACACCATTTCCGATACGGCCTTTGTGATTGGAATGACCGAGGTCTCGATAGAGATTGCGTGTCGCAATCCAACCACCAGCGGGTACCCGAAATCCAACTTTGAACTGTTTACCGCTGTGCCAAGCGTTCCTTACGGATCGTAGAAGCATAGTGATCAAGGCGTCAGACTTTAATCACTAGGCCAGAGTTTCATCCCAGCTCAGGCTATCGCTACGTGATGAGTACAAACGAGAGCGAAACCGGTTATGAGGTGCCAGTGTTGGGAGAAGCAACACCGAGGCTCCAGAGTAGATTCATGGTCATGCCAATGACAATAAAGGCCCGATCAAACTGATGAACTTCGCTACTTGAAATCTGTTAGATCTTAATCCAAACATGCACAGTGCCTAGCTTTTCAATTACGAGACGTAACAAAGTAACCTTGGGTCCAACTGCAGCACAGGCAGGCTTGCCGAACAACCTCGCGGTGCCAACTGGGTGGTTCGGGATTTTTCCCGTTCCAGCAAATGGTTTGGCGGCAGTGTTCCAGGACGTGGTGGGTTTTCGCCTGGCAAGCGTTCTCCCTATAAAAAGCCACATATGTCCGTTTAACAACACTGTGATGTGACGGACGTGACTCGCCACTAAATAAACTCCCTGCCCCTTGCTTCATGCTGGCGAAGCATTGTATTCCAGCAACTTTGTGCTGTAATTCTGGGGAGCATTGGGCCCCTGTTTGACAAAGGAACAAACGAAAGGCGAATGAACTGAGCAATCAGTCACCGGCTCCCAATGGGCGCGATTCCCTGAATTGGCTCCGCTGCATTTCGAGCAGGCTATTCAGTCAAAGGCTCAGGGTGGTGTCCCCTAAGTCAACGCCCTACTTCGGCTTGGGCAACCAGGTTATAACCAGGGTTATAACTACACAAGAAGAGCTATCGCAAGTATGATCACGATTTTTCATGCAAGGAAAAAGTGAATTCTCACAAGTAATTGCACAGTTTCAATTCTTCAAATGTAAAGCTTTATAGGTTTGGCGGCATTCGGTTCCAGATTTGTCTGTCTTTGAGGCCTTCACAGAACAGCAATAGGAGGCATGAACTCACAGAGGGATGGATGGCTCGCGCTGCACCACCCACACACTCCAAATCCAGCGTAAGCCGAAGGAATAAGGCCGGTAGGCAAGCGGATGGTGGCCACGTTACACTAAGGGAGTCCTATCTGCTTCCTCTGGAGCGTACAGTAGTGCAGAGCGGTCTGTCCCCACAGATCCTCCCTCTCATCAAGAAATCTGGCAGGAACTCCGCCTACCGAAGCATTGTAAAGTACCCGGCCCTGATGGTTTACCTCTTGCTCTCTTCAAACATGGCCATTCAATGGTTACAAAAGTCACCGCTTTGTTCTCAGAAGTCTTGTCAAGAGAGGAAGTTCCATCATCCTGGGGTAAATCGATAGCTGACCCATTTTCAAAAAGAGTCTGCGTACAATGTGCTCTAACTATAGAGGTATAACCTTGGTTCCCGTTGTCGGTAAGCTTCTGGAGTCTAGCAAAGTTCGCAGGTTATCCCAACGAGCGAGTCCCTACATCGGGAAGAACAGGCTGGGTCGCGCCCTGGTTGCCACTGTACCGATCACATTTCACACTCCCCCAGATCCTCGAGTTCTGCCAGGTGTATTAAAAGCCAACGATTGTCGTGTGCCTAGATATCCGTGCAGCCTGCGATTTTGTCTACAGCAATGCACTGTGGCACTGTCTATTGAAGAGTGATGTCCTCGGGAAGTACGTTTCCGTACTGCGTACTATTTACAGTCCGACCAGGGGTAGTTAGGGTTTATGGCAAGTTTTCGTCTTCCTTAGTAGGTTCGACAAGGATGCCCCATATCACCCCATTCCTATACAGTTTTACCACTGACGATGTCTTCAAAAATGCCATAGAAGATTAGTTAAACGTCGGAGTTTTGGTCCTGCCAGTTAGCTAAGTAGAAGTAGGTTGACGATTTGGTTTCGTTGAATGACGGTCAACAGGCCATCCAACTTACACCTAATCGTTGGTGATTGGAGCCTCTAGGTATGGGATGGCTTTTCCCCATCCAAATACAGAGCACTTTTTTTCAAGATTGGTAGATGGGTATACCTCCCCTCACTCTCAGCAGAGGTCCGGGGAAGGAGAACCACTGAGGAGACCCAAAAGGCCGAAACAGCGTTGTCTGCTGGCATTCCAGACGTGACAGAGTCTACTGACTGAGAGGGAAATGTGACTAATTACCCCTGAAATTATACCAAAAACCCAACTAATTAGTAGAAATCTAAAGAGCAGAATACATGTCATTCTGGCATGTGTATAACAGAAAAGGAGAAAATGAACACCTGATTTTTCCAACGATAAATCGATATGACGTCAGTGCCTTCTACAATCTGCATAATAAATCGTTGAAGAGACGAAGGATTATAAAGCGCAGGTGGAGAACTGAACAATACGCAAAGATGGGGAGAGAGAGATGGATGGTTAGATATTATCAGGTCCGCATTCATATACTTGTTCGCGCAATCGAGGCAAAGCAATTCTTTGCTGTTTTATAGTCAGGTTTTCATACACCCAAATGGAAGCTGAACTTCTGATGGATGAGCTTAATCTATTTCATAGCAGTGGATATTTAAACGTAAAGGAGTTTCATCGGAGCCTCGTGTGACAGCGGGGTATTCCTAGATTATATGGCAAAGGTTTTTGGCATTCCGGTTCGCAAAAATTTGTATGCATCTGTCGATGGACTATTTAGTAAATGAGACATAAATTTAGTTTCAACCTTCGAAGCCACAATGGCTCGAGATTTAGCAAGTTACATCTTGCTTTGTAAGATAGGGCAGATGTGTAACTCACAAGTGTTGTAGTGAAGGATCTCTGAGTTGCCTCGATTTCCGGTCTATCACATTTGCTTATCTTGTTGAAATTGTTTGTACGGTACTTTTGTATAGCTCGGACTTACACTTAAAAGCTAGGAGTTTAACATCATTTTTTATAGGTAAACAGCTCAACGTTCCAATGGTTGGTCGTGCTTTAGCCGCAATATATCCAATTTGTTATTTAAAATTAAGCGTACTTAGGTATCGCAGATCCAAATCGCAGGTAGAATCACTTATGAGAAGTGACAGATTGTATAGAGTAAGACTTTCTAAGTGAACGGAGAAGGCTCACATTCCTTCAACATACACAGCAGCAGCACCCTGTCTATCTAATTTAGAAATCACGCATACCAGACGTACACAAGGCGATGGCTTGGCAGTAGTGCGCTCCACACTGGATAGATCCAGTGTTTGGGCCTCGCGACGTCACGAGGACGGTGCACCACGTCTCTCCTGGCGAAGATTAACAGTCTCCCGGAACCAGTAATCGAAGTGCAGGATGTTAGAGAGGTAGGCATGTTGTCAACATTCACACCAAGCGCAGCCACACCGGGGATATTAAGCAACCAATACAGAATTTGAAAGAAAATAAATACGCAAAATTGTCATGAAATATGCAGCAGAATAACGGAACTGATGAACACAAATAAACAGAAATAGTTTTTATTCCTATTAAGATCTAGTCAGTGTAGTCCAACTTCGATGAAGAAGCATGATGTATGCAACACTCATGTCAGCATGAAGCGCCATATGAATACGAAAGAATGTGAAATAAAATATTCACCCAAACTGGACAGCAAATGTGCTGCAGAATGACAGAACTGAGCAAATCAGAAAAGTGTACGAATTCTGCTCTATTGTCAGGATGATCTTGGGCAAGGTGTGTGAAATCACATGAAGGTAACCAAGGAGGAGGAAATGCAGACTTGTGGTTAGCATCTCCGTGATCAATTACTAAGCCATACCTCCCCAAGCAGAAATGTGAGGCTATGCCAACAACAGAAACCATGATATACAAAACGCCTGCAGGATAACAAAAGATGGGCACATGTAGGACATGATCCACAGAAAATAAAACAATGAGCAGAAGTTGATGAGAGAGAAAAGAATGAACCACGTCAACACTACAAACATCGATGAGGAGAAAAAGGGAAATAATGAAAGAAGCGACCAACGGTCACAGCTCACCGTTTCTATCAACTCTGCAACCTGTTCCATCCTCTCCTCGCGGTTATCCAGTGCAGTGCTCGCCTCGTAGTATAACCGGGCCCAATTTTGGTGAAATGAGGGGGAAACTTCAGCGGAAGCAATGCACAAAGTCCGCAATCCTTAAAATAAGCAAGTAAAAAACAAAAAGGAATAAAAACACGAGCACACGCCGGGAACTGTGTGCTGCAGTGCAAGTAAGCAGCTCCGTTAATTTCAACGAAAACGATTCAGGTAGAGAAATACAATAGATGCGAACGTTACGAATGATATAATATTGACGAAAAGCGAGAGCAAAAGATTATAAACATCAGAAAAGCCAACCGCACGAGGAATAGGAGAACAAATGCTAGAATATGAAACATCGGATAAGCTTTCTAACAAACGGTAGAGTGGATTACAAGGCTGTCGTTCAATAAGGCGGTAGATGCTGGTGGTAGCAAATCGGACGGGTGCAACGGTCATATGACGCTCCACCATGTCACCGATAGGTCAGTCGACTGACGCAACCACTTAAGCGCAGTGATCGAAAAGGTCAAACACTGAAATGAGTGGACTTTAGATACTTGAAGGGCCTAGTTAGGTGTTTTCAGTGAAAAACAAAGCCTATGTAAGCATTTAAAGGCTATTAACACAGAGTGGAACCTCTAATCCCCATCGACTCAGTGGTTAAGCCGAGTATCAGCAGACGCTTAAGGTCGAAGACCGTTGAATCCGTGTAAACACGAAGTGGGACTGTCTCTAGTGAACCCAGTAACCCAGTAAGCTTTAAGCGCCGCACGTCTGCACCACCCTCTGAACCAATTAAGAGTTTATATACTAGTATAGAGCTGCACTGAGAGATTAGACTGTGTTGGTGAAAGACGATACCACTAGCTTCCAAACTGATTACCACTAAGTCAAGAGGTTGCCTCGGTCGGAAACCGAAATGTGAGAAATCTTAACGCACAGTATTGGGTGACAGTGTGAAGATATATGTTTCTAGTCAAGTAGACTTTTGGGCGTGCGGAGTGCCTGAAACACGAAAGAACAGACCGTTGTTCGCATCAAATTAACGACCCACGGGCCGTGCTAAAGATAGTTTGGAAGTACGAATGCCAAAAGACTGTGCTGTTGATTGTTTATGATAGCGAATAAGCAGTTCAGTATTGGACAACGGGCAAGCGTAAGCAAGTGAACCACTCCCCTGTAAACCGGCGGAACCAATGAAAAGCGTTTGTGGAACCTTAAAAAACCTCACCAGTTTTTGCGAAGATTTCTAAATGCTGCACAGTGGCCTCACGAAATTGACTGGTCTTGGCCAACCGTTCAAAAATGACGGTGTCCTGTGGAAGAGACAAAAAAAGTAGAGGAAGGTAAAATTAGTGCACAGGTTGCGAACCCCCATGTGACCAAATTGTCGAATAAGTAGTTTTATATATCGAAGGAAAAAGCCAACAAAGTTTGAGCGTACAAGAGTAGGTGCGATTAATAACACAAGGAAACGAAGAATATGCCCAAATCGACCAAGCGTATGGTGTAGTCTAAGTAGAGGAACAAGAATGGAGATATGATACATGAAAATGCTCCAGGGATATGCTCAAGATAGCTGGTCAAATATACGTAATATGGGGTCGCCTCAATATAAGGTGGGAAACCAGCGGATAAATGACAAGCACATAGCGTTGGTACAATGTGGAAAGGGAGTGAATATGTCAGTCGCATCCCGCGAAGTGGGCAGAAGGGCACAGAAAGTGGAAATCTCTCACCAATTCTGCAGAAAAGTAGTGAACGTCGATGTGAACGTAACCGTTGACCAATCTGAAGCTGAGGTACCCCAGCAACCATGTCTTAAACACATCTGAAAATAATTAACTTAGGCCGTCTGAAGGAGTTCACCAATGGAGCTTCGACTCACTCCTAAACACAATATGGTGGAGGACGACCCCAGCTATAGCACAGGTGCTAATCAATTATGGCGGTCCACGGCTGTTACCCATAACTCAACCGTTGCAACTGATGACTCATAGAAGTAAGACCACTGATGCGAATTCAGTAGGATCCGGGCGGATACGCGCTAGTGACGATTCCCAACAGAACGAAAGTTACCCATCGCTTTCCCGGGTATGTTCTGGTTATAACCGAAAGGAAATCTTCCGATTCACACCACAACTACGTGCTGCTGAGATGAATGCAAGCAAGAAGCGCAGTATCTGTCGAGATAGTCCGAAAATGTGTTATTAAGGAAGGAAAGGTCATCATATACTGCACACACATCAAGATAACTACTTTACTGCAGCGTACTTACGCTGGCTGATTCTAGGTTACCACGTTGGCGAATTCACCGAACACAACCACAGCTTCAACAGTTTCACGCGACATGATTACTCATCCAATTATATATATATATATATATATATATATATATATATATATATATATATATATATATAACCCTCCAGTAGGTGCTGGTTAAATTGTAACATTCGCGTTCACTTGCTGATCATACGCATCTGCATTATTATGAACATGTCCTTTTAGGCGTATCCCGAACTGTAACGAATAAGCAATATATTTATTTATCTGCATGAGTTCATTGGGTCGTGCTCGCTCGTTGCAGTTTGGACCACTGCCATCCCAGATGGAACAAAGCTGCGCTTCGTTCACAATATCCCAAACCAATCCTCCGCTGTTCATCTGGTCCATACAAAGTTAACCAGCTTGCGAAGGCAGGCGTTCATTGGATATCCCGTCCCTTGGCCGACGATCGGTTTCGTTCATGTGACATGCCAACCAACATAAGAGTAAGCGCAAGGTTAATAAAGTGCATAGAATACAAGCTGACGGATACATGATATGTGAAAGATCGGACTATCGACAACTAGCGAGACGCGACGAGACTGGATCTTAGCGCGGAGCAATGATTTTCGTGCCTCAGCAATCCATTGATCTATGCTGAGTGGTGCTTCTGCAGCTTCAGAGCCACGCATACTAGATGGGTCAATGGTTAGAGACCTGACAAACGCAGTCTCCTGGCCCTCGAGGTTGAGGGTTGGAGTGATTGTGGCTCATTACTCTATAACGGGCTCTGTGTAGTCTAGTGGCAAAACGCCGCTACTTTGCTGTAAGGTTTTCGAACCAAAGGCTTGGTTGAGAACCCAAATCGCTCCCCTATCTAAGCCAGGGCAAGTTAAAGGTATCCTGCCCATGTAATATTATGAATCTTTCCTGAAATAATTGCTAGATGCTTTGGCGCTCTATCTGCTGCATCGAGCAGGGTAGGGGTTTGGACGCTACTGCTCAAGCCCTCCCGTCTTACGCTTTTTCACCCTTCTCGTCCAGTTCCCAAGTGACTTGTAGCTTCCCGTTTTAAACTCCCAATGCTTTGCACTCCCACCCCCCAATGCTTTGCTAGGCATCTAGCTTCTAACATCAAATCACTCCTGACTTGTCGACAAGCGCATGGTTAAGCAAGCCTCAATCCTCTTTTTGAGCGACATGCATAAATGTAAGCACATTGTTACAGATCGGTCAACAGGCAGCACTTGTCCGTACATTAGAGATCCACTCGATCGATATCTGCTACTTATTGGAGATCCGCCTGCAAGGCCCGAGCTCTGTGCTCACTTTGCGATCCACTTCAGGTAACACTAGCATCACATTCTCATGGTGCCTATCCGATGACGATGCAGCTCCGAGCACCGGCGAAGCCGGTGTTGGTATTGCCCTGAGTCCCCGGGCTGAAGCTGCGCTGATTGGTCGGATCCCAATCAGTAGCCGGTTGTGTGCGGTCCGATTGGCTGCCTCGTTCAATGCTTCGAAGTGGAACGGGACTAACAGGTGCCTAGTCGTCATCGTTGCCTATGAGCCCACAAACTATAGTGATGATTCGGTAAAAGACGAGTTCTATCGTCAACTGAACGAGCTCCGCCACAGAAGAAGCTCGGACACAGTAGTGCTGGCTGGGGATCTGGACGCACAAGTTGGAAAATTATCCACTGATGAATTGCATCTGAGCGGCCAACACGGTTTAGGCTCGCGTAATGATAACGGCGAGCAGTTACTTCATTTGTGTGAAGATGCTTGCCTATTTCTTGCTATCACTAACTTCCGACACACCACGCGCCGGAGGGTGACATGTCGTCCACCGGTCATGGAGGCAAATCTATCACACTGTGGTCAGTTACCGCTGGAGAGACTGCGTCCAAAACTGCTGCTCGATTTGGGACACGAGCTTGAACTCTGACCACGCACTAGTTTGCGCCGACTTGCGAATGCATTTCGGTGGACGTCCGCAACCGCGCTGTGAGATCATAAATACTTGCCAACTGGTGAAGCCAGGTGTTCTGAATGCGTATCAAGGTACGCTGACGTTTGACCTGAGTAAAAGCCCAATGAACACAGTTGTAGTTCATTGGTCGCACACCTACCAGACGTTCTTAGCAATAGGCATGTCTTCATGTGGTAAAGAAAATTGCCAACATAGACATTTAGTCTCTATGCGGTCTCTGAAACTTATGGATACTCGCCGATGTGTTCCGGTTGGAAGCGAATACAGTGAGACTCGTAAAGTTCTTAGGGCGGAACTGCGTGCTAGCCTGAAGAGAGACTGCAAAGCGTGGTGGTATCATTGTGCCCATGAAGTGGAGACAGCCACTGTCCTTGGTGACCATCAGAAGTTATACGTTTTGATATGAAAAAGGGGCAACGGGAGACTTGGTGTTGGTGAGACCATATGCGATGAGATTAGACAGCCAAACCACAGCTTGTCAAAGCGCTTGCAGCGTTGGGTCGAACACTGAGAGACAGTTTAATCAGTCAGAGTTGCCAGCCTCTGCATAGGCCAGTTAGCACCCTGCTCCCTGGGCCGTCCCCTTGCATCAGAATACAAGCGCAGAAAGCGAAGTTGAGATCAGAAGACTGAAATTGAACAGGGCCGCTGATAAAGATGGACATCATCTAGTCGCCTTCAAATTCGGAGAAACTGCTCTTTTGGACGATTTTCATAAGCTACTAGTGAATTTATGGGAGTAGGAGATTATCCCATTATAGTCCCAATTTTCAAGCATGGCTCTCGTTCAGAATGTGGTAGTCAGAGGAATTAATCTGTTCTCCATTGCCTCCATCATTCTCCATAGACCAACTGGTATCCGTGAAATCCAGATGCGCCAGGAGCAGGCCGGGTTTACTTGAAATCGATGCTGCATTGACCAAACTTACACATAACGTCAGTTGTTGAAGCACCGCTATGTTTATTGGCGATCAAACGGAGTCGTGTTCTTAGACATCAAAGAAGTCTTCGATTCGGTTGATCGCTGTGCCGATAAGCATTAAATGTCATAAGAGTGCCGTACGCGCAAAGTTCGGGAAGTGTGAGAGTTTACTGCAAACTATCGCGCCCTTTAATATCTCCAGCGGTGTGAGACAAGGATGCGCACTAGCACCTTTCCTCTTTAACTTCGCTACTAACGAATTTGAGACCGCGGTTCGCTGTACACTACCTACAATGTGTGGATCAGTTTCCCGTTGAGAGAATTTTTGACTTAGAGTATGCCGACGACATTGCCCTAGTCTGTGACAGATCCTAAAGACACCAAGCTGCACTGGACAATTTAACACTGGCTTTCAATCGCTTTGTGCTATACTCTGCACCGTCGAAATGCAAGCCCTCCTCTAAGCTTGGCAGGAGCCCACCCCTGCGATGACCCTTGGTGGTGATCAGCTGGAAGACGTCCCCAAATTCAACTATCTGGGCAGCTATACCAGCGTCAGCGGAATTGAAGATGAGATCACAAACCGCATAGCAAAAGCTCGATGCGCTTTTGCCAGGCACCGCCATGTGGGGCGCCGGCGTGACATTACTCTCGCCCTGAAGGGCAAAGTTTACAATGCAGACGTCCATCCAACCCTCATGTACGGTTGCGAAACTTAGCCCATCAAGTCGACAGACTTAAAGACGCTTGTTACGTTCGACCATCGTTGCCATCGCAACTTAGCTCATGTCTGGTGGGAACACTGTGGGAACAACGTGCGTGTTCAGTCTCGCGTATTTGGTGCAGGAAGAGCGAGTGAACCGCTCAGCAGCAGTATATCACGCACCACTCTCTGATGGTTGGGCCACGTGTTGCGCATGCCAGCCCACCAACTCCCGTGACGTGCGTTGTTTGCGCGCCGGGGCTGTTTATGGAAGAAGATGTGGGGAACCGAAGTAATGACTTGGTCAAGAGGATTGAGGTCGCGCACTTCGTCGGTTAGCGTCTCCCAACTGTCGGGCTCGAGTCCGAAGGGCGCTGAAGACCTTTGGTTCGATACACTAGTTGACATGACGAGGAGCCGATCTCCATGAGTTCCCTTGTCCCTCCTTCTGCTACTTAGCTTCCCCCACAAAAAATGATCTCAAACCCTATGCATAACATGAAATGTAACATTAGGTCTTTTTTATAGTTTTTGTAGTCTGTAATGTTTAACGTCTTGTTATATTACGCTCTCACACCCTCGGTTAACGTGCACTGATGATGATGATGAGCGAGACGCGAGCGGTATGAAAGCGAAGGGATTTTCAGTCACCGCAAGCATCAGCAGCTGACTCACAGCAACAAATATCGTGAACAAACGAGAACACGGATCACGGTATGGCGATTGAGTATGGAATCACACGGCCGCGGGTGAAAGAGGATAGATATAAAATGCTGCCGCGCAGGTCATACAATAGAGGACCGGCAGCAATAAAAACCATGTGAATAGTGTGTACACGTAAACGGTTGGTGGATGTGTCAGGTATCATGCAGGACCGAAAACCTTTAGTGAAGCACTCATATTGAGCAATGCCACTCAATCAACATGTAATGGTTTTTATAAATTTAGTGAGAGAGTCAGTGATGCAATGACACTGAATAATATTTTGCCGCTCGTCTCAGTGAAAAAATCCGTTGACTATAGTCTCAGAGAAAAGAATGCATTAGCCAGCCATGATATTCTCAAGCGCAAACTTGGCAGAAGCAATCGCAACGAAAAAATGGCGTGGAAAAAGCGGATCGCACCACATGGGAAGGTTAACGGCGCTAAAAAAATGTAGATCCAATAATTTGATACTAAGTGAATGAAACAGCTGTGATTTTGCGAGTTTCCATAGGAACGACAGCAAGCAGATATACTGTCAGGACTGTACAAACATTTTGGCCTGTAGACCGACTTATAGTGAAACTTCGCAAGGCGGAGCCCTGATATATTGTTAACCAGAGGACTAGCCTTTAATAAAATGTGAATGAGGCGCAGTGCCCTTGAAACGTTCCTTACTGTAAACTGAATTAACACGCGCGTTCATTATTGTTAGTTAAAAAGAAGAGCTGTCAAGTTTAGGTAGAAAAAGACGTACATTAAGGCTTACAGTGTGGGAGGAAATTGTTGCTGATATGCAGCGCTGACTTGTTTGCCGTTGGGTGTTACTGTGTAAAGCTGCAACATCACATATGGCTCAACTACAGGCCTTTTGTGATACTGAGTTTTGATATACGTGTAATGTGAAAATGTAAATTCACACAAAGAAATTATGGAACAGTGACAGTCGTCCTTGCTTCATGTTACACGAGAAGGCAGACAGTGACACTTTGTGACATTCTTCATGAACGGAAGAATCTGATATCATGCCAATGCATTTCGCAAAATGAACAGAAGTGAAAGGGAGCTTTTGTGCTAGTAAACGGGTTCTTGACTTGTAAAAATTTGTTCAAATTTTCATTCTCTTTATTGGGGCATAGAAAAAACCTTCGGCCAGATAAATAAATAAAAGTTCTGTGCCCGCCCATATTTTCCAAAATGTCTTTTAATGCCGGTAATTTTCCAACATTTCCAGTGAGAACAGAAAGCACCAAAATTCTAACTTTCCTTTGAAAGCTCGATTTGTATCATTCACTCTGGTTACACTCGTGGATTTTCCTTGTTAATTTTGACCAAAGTAGCAATATTTAGCCACGGGAGAGCTGGTAAAGATCTGTGAACAATTCCCATATCGTCAGACATATTCCTTACCAGTTGATTGGTCAAATGCCGAAATGTAATAAAGTTAATTGTCTCCACCGCCTCGATGAGGACAGGTTTGGGATTAGTGGCAGGTTTCTAATGGCAAGGGCATGTCGACAAAGAATAAGCTGTCTGCTTTTGCACGTTTATGCAACTGATTGGTTTCTTTTCATTATACCAGCAACATTTCCTGGTATTGAGTTGGCATCAACAGTGTAAATATCGATGCAGTTGTCAAATGGAAATGCTATATTATGCATGAAATTATTAAGGATGTTAAACAGTTCCGCATCAGTAGTATCTTTTGGTGGAGGTTTACACAAAGTGTATTTTTCTATGGATAGCGTTGATATATTGTAATCACAAGCAGTACAGCAAGTCCTGTTACATTTTTAGAGCAAAAGGAGTATACCTGATGTGAGGTAACCATCTTCTTAACAGCAGCTGCTAGTGCCTTAATTCTTCGAGATACCGTCTCATTTGATGGCCGTATTACAGCGGCTATTTTGCTGATTTTTTATCCAGCAAGCACCTGGCCATTTCGGCTGCACATGGTTTGATAGGTTACTCAGTTATTGTGTGAGGTTCTCCTGTTAGCGCAACAACTAGGTAAGATGCTTCAGTAGACTTTTCAGTTATAGTCTGATACGCGTTAAAATGTAATTTTGGTTGTTTAACTGTTCATCTAGCCTGCGCTAAAGGACTCACATTTTCCGTTTTTACAGTCCGCACGCTTTTTGAAAAAATGCGCCGCATTTTTGCAGGCAAAATGGAAGCACTTTCTTTTACAAGACAGTGTGGCCAATCGCTGTACTCCATAAATCCAAAAGAAAATAAAGGTCGTATTTATGCCAACTGCCTATTGATACAGAGGCTCCGGTCGGCATAGATTGATGTTGCATCGGGTCAGTTAGTACAAGTGCATCGAATGCCTCCGTTTCTGCATTCCCAGAAAGCATCTTACATGACCCAACCGTTATTACATCTGAATTCGAAGATAACTATTCCTGTGACAAGTTTATTAATGTCCCTGTCTTTAGTCAACAATCCATGCGAAAATGACAAAAGAAAAACAAGTAATTAAACACAAGAATCCTGATCAAACCTTAAGTTTAATCATTATGATAAGTCGAAATTTGAATGAGGTATAAAATAAACAGAACAGACAAGTTTTTATGACGTCGCATGGATGGTTTCTTTACAATTCGCGTAATAAAATGAACGCACTCGTAAAACACGGAAATATATGCACTCTCCTTCTGAGCTTCCCTGGGTGAGATCGTAACAACGGGCCTTTTTTCCGATTAGCCGGTTTCGGGGAATAGCAACTTTCGGAATGACCCCAAAAAAGGACCATATTCCCCTAGTTCATTTCCTGCTACCCCCAGGGAACAAACGCTGGGTTATGTGTGCCTATGTGGAAGGAGAATGACCATCCAACTTCCACTCATCGCATTATGTTGAGATTGTCACACTATAAGGCTGCCATATGACAGTCTCATTCACTCACAAGGTGATTCTGCCAAGCACAAGTTGTTTCTTTGAAGGAGTCTGTTTTACATGGGCCATAAACAAGGCTAAGATAAACGGTCAGATAAGATTTAACAAATTTTCACTGCGGACATGTCAACGAATTATAAAATAAAATGATTATGTCTAGAAAATCTTTAAACGGAACCACATTTCGGGAACTCCCGCGGACGCCGTAGAGTCCGCGGACCATACTTTGAAAAAAACACTGCACTAAACTATAGTACAACTAAATTCGATAGGAGAGGAAGGATATAGATGCGAGTACGATAGGTGAAGGGACGTGAAGAAACCGAAGATCTGAGTGAACTTATCGAGGAAAATATCTTAGGATCTGCGGTAGAAAAACTCTCGCCTGCTATTATGGTTGAGTGATCAACGAAAACAGGCAATACGACAAATGTACGGATGAATACCATGCTAAATGCAATCGGTATTCAATCGAAAGTTAGTGGGTGAAGTTAGTGTAGATCATGGGGGTGTATACCACTCACAGCCCCTTTGACCATCACGACGATGCGCCCGGTTGGCTCACGAACAACCACGCCCATGCGTTTGCGGAAACTGGTGAATTCCAAAACTTGAAGGACTTCGTAATGCAATTCGGATCCATTCTGGTGTGCAACAGAAGCAAAGAGATACGTTGCAAAAGCAGTGAAAAACGCCAAGAATGCAATAAATCTCGGCAATAAATATTAGCATAAATAAAATAAGCACGCTCATCGTTATAGATGTCACCATCAATAGCGAAGAGGACAAACTCACCACTCTGACTGAGACTCCGGTGGGTGTACGCGTAGCGAAAACAAAGCCCATGGCGCTGGCAGCTTTAACCAAAGCGGCTTCGTCTGATAAAGGGACGCAAAACGAGTACCGATAGAAGAATCAAAGTGCACAACGCCGCGTGAACAGGCTGAGAGCATTCAGGTGAGAAATGTACATCTACAATTTCGTTATGCTACTAAGGCTGTGGCGCTTCAGTCTAACAAACGGAAATGGGTGAGAATGAAAAGACATAGGGCAATCATATGTTAAAATGGCATTTGCGCTATGTATGGGCATGTTCGAATGAAAGAGTGTGCTAGACTCACAAAATGCGACAACCAGTGATCCCCTGATGTGACCGATGCAGTGCTATGAACCAGAGTGCGGAAAAAGCGTTTCAGACACAGACGTTCATCACTTTCGGATTTACTAATAACGCGACTGCGAATGATCGCAGGATTCAAGGTACGGGGCAAATATATATATTAAATGCACTATGGCACGATAACATGTCATATCCAAGATAGGCTAGGAGCTATGAAGCTGGGGAAAGGTGAAAGGGAAACCACCGTTGGTTCGGAAAAGGCTAAGGTATCTGCAGGGAGTAGCTACGTCCTTGTCAAGCGACTATAGGCAGTCACGCGAAAGGTCACCCTCACATACACAGACCCGAACAGGCGACTTGTACATTAAAATCCAGAAACCTGAATCACTAGACCACCGGTCGACCGTTATCTCAAAACGTACCACTCACGAGCAAATGAATCTGCAAAACAGGAAACGAAAATAAAATATGCAGCGCGCACCGAGAGGTCAGGCGAAAATTTTGCGGGCGCCTGATATCAGCTTCGTGAGCGACAGAAAGACCCCTGTTCGTGTGAAACTAGAGTAGGTGGATACATAAAGTGTACACATTAAGCGATGATTGCGTAGCGATCTATTCTGTCAAGGATCCACTCCCTTTGCAGCGTAGGAAACATTTATGGAGACTGTGTGATATTAGTCCACTGGCCAAGGACAGAATCCACAACGTTGCACCGCAACCAATGTCACTATACAGGCCAGATACGTGACTGCTGCTCGCTGAGGTCGTTAGAAGACGAGTATGGTTTTGGTTAAAGATGCAGGTACTCTTTTGCAAGAGCCCTGAAAGAGAAGCACCGGTGTGCGCGGGTTAGTGTTTTTGGTATCAGGCTGTCTCGTGCAAAACTGGCCAATTCGCTGAGCTCCAAACTCCTAGGTTAGCCAAATGATGGCATACCAAGCTAGCTCGTGTGTGTCGTTTGCTGACACTGCAGTTGCGTAGATGGTACACAGATGTGATGGCATGGCAAAACAACAGGAAGAAACCCAGTCGAAGTGCTGATAAATCGTTATCCTGGATGAGGACCCAGGGACGGGTTACATAATAGGTTATCGGCCTCCATGCGTATGGTGTAGACAAGAAATCGAGGATGTTTTGTGCTGCGTTCCATAATGCGGATTTCTAACTCATCCACCGAACGATTCTCAATTTCTAGCAAACTCACGTGAAATGATCTGATTCACCTAATTTTCTCACTTGTAAGTAGCAGTGATCAATGACCAACTGAACTGAAAGGGAGATTGAATCTGATAACGGTGCATCCCGTCAGCACCAGTGATGACCAGCACACCTTAGGCCAGATATCGGGGAGTGCGGGCGAGTGGAGAACTCACAAACATCTACATTGTTAGGCAAACTTAAAGCACTACGCGGAGCGAACGTTGAAGCATGATGCAGCCAGTCCGTGGCTTTAAGGATCACAAGCCTGCCTTGTAATCCTAAGATCATGGGTTCGAGCCTGAGTAGGAGACCTGGCGACGTTCGCAGTATCCTTAGCCCAGGCGCGACTAATGGTGGTTGCACAACAGAGAAGCGTCGGTACTGCGTGTCGGAGTACTGCTAATGCCCTTGCCAGCGCTAAGTTGAAAACTGTAATGAAGCCCATCAGGAGAGCGAAGACATGGTATACGCCCCCTAGCTCTAGAACCACTGGTGAATTGAACGGACAATGGGCCGAGAAAGGGGCTGGACGCGACATATGGAGGCACGCAGGATGCAGGATGTGGTTCCTTTATCAGGTTACGCGGGCGATAGTCCGTAACACAGACAGGTACAGGAAATGGAAGCAGACAACCGGGATCTAACCTGGAGAAGAAGCTTGATACGTGATCGGTTGATCTGGATCATCGACAGATACATCGGGCACGACAGTGTGACAAATGGCAAGGACGAAGAAGAAATGCCTCGCCAAAGGATCCTTTGATCTCAGCCGAGATAACAATGCCTCGTCGTTCATTGCATTGGAATCCTCGGTGGCGTTTCTGTAGTGGTGGAGGGAAGTAAAGTAAAAAGCAGTCATAATCGTGGTTGCAGAGGGGAAAGGCTGACTAAAAGCTCCCTACGACCAGCAGGATATACAGAAAGGGGGGAGTTGTCGCACGACATCATATAGAAGTCAATCATCCCTAAGGACAAATGTCGAATGTGAACTGCTTTGGCTGTCAATACAGGGTGCTTGGAGGAACTATGTTGAGGTGACTACAGGCGCACCCGGAGAGACGGGAACTCTGAGCTTTCGGGCAAAAACCGGGAAAGCACGGCAGATAAGGAGCATCGAGTGGTGGCAGGACAACACAAACGAATTCGGACCACTCATTTCTTACACGAAATATCCAAGAAATTGGGCCTATAACCAGCGAAAAAAGGCATGCATTATTGTTGATAACAAAAAGAAGTGCAAAGGTGCTGGGTCGACAGATCGAGTTCATTGGCAAACAGAAATTTTAGGCACCAACCGTCGAGGTCAAGTGTGCTTGCTTCTTGTTTGTCCTTGTGTTTCGACAGGTGCAATCAGCCAGCCAATCGTCATATGTAAAAGACTGCCATCCTTTTTCGATGCGGTCCGTCGTTCTCTAGCTCAAACTAGTGGATTCTTAGCTACATTAAAGCAACATACACAACTATGGATTACTTTGATTGGAAGTGTAGAACCTTAGGGTTGCAGTTTCAGCTGTGAGGCTGATTATCCAACTGAAGGCTCTCTAACACGCGGCTGCAGCGTGACAGAGTTCGATTGCCGCTTGCCAGAAAAGAAAAGCGGACGAATGGGGTCACTCATCGCACAACCATCAGGCATTGGGTTCTAGCAAGGACATACAAAACCCCAAGTGTGTTTGTCTGACAAGCATTCACCGGTTGGAGTGACACGTAGTTACAGCTGTTACCCGGTGATGCACACCGTGCTGCACCCGAATAACGTTGCCGCAGGTCACCGGACAAAGTGGGTTGCAGCGTGGTCCGAATGGCGGACCGATCAATGATGGAGGCGGTTTGCTGACGAGTAACTAACAAAGCGATATATCTGACCAAGAATGTACTGTCCGAAACAAGCGCAACCAAACGATTGGACACGACCATATAGGTTAGACTCGGTTATTCGACTGCTGTCATCATGATACCAATAAAATAACAACAAGGATAGCAGATAAGTAGAGAAATGAAAAAAAGCTAACAAAAAGGGGGCAAAACTATGGAAAGGAAAAAGGGAAATTCTTTAACGGAGAGATATACAGACAGAAGTATCCGGTAGAATATAGTATTTCTATCGACTTGTAGGCTGTTTAGTATAAAATGTCTCTAAGCAGTAGCTTGACAGATCCATGCATGTGTCAAGCTAGCCAAGTCTTTTGGAAGATCTCCCCAGTCATCGGCTGGCTATCCAGGAGCCTAACTCAACCAGGTGCAATGCTAGCAAACGATACACACATACGTAGGCCGTCCGAGTTCGCGGGCAGTTCAGTGCGACACCAAAGCAAACATTGATGGGGGCGCTTACTCGGTGAATTCGCCACAGCAACGATGTTGCGCTGGTGTGTGTTAAAAAACGAACGGTCCCCAGTATGCACTGATCACGTGGTCAGCAGGACCAGACAATGAGGAAATGGACAGACTGATCTGTGGAGGCTACTGCTAGTCGTTTGAAGAGTGGATATTTTTGTTCCAGCACTTGTTCAAACAAGTGTTGGGCTAGTATGGCGGTGAGAAAACCGCTTACACGAATTTAGATTACTCGAAGTGTACTGAATGAAGAAAACGGGGAAAAATCATCACCTTAAAACGCTACATGACAATAAAACTTGTTCAAGTTGTTCAAGTGTCTGCACGTGATAACAACGGAGTTCTAAAAGCAATTCTCAAGATAGACGTGAAGCATGCTGGCGAGGCACTGAGGAATGTGACATTCATCGTCGCTGTCAGCTCGAATAAAATGAGAAAAAGGCATAATTTTATAGATGTGCTGATATGTGACAGTTTGAAGACCTCTCCGATCCAGTGACTTATGTTGGATAGCGTGCTCAGGTGCTCGAGAGTCATTACTACAACGTTGGTCAATGGTTAGAAACTGGGGAAATGCGGTTTATGGTTAGAATAGAACAAAACTCAATTCTACAAAACTGACATCCTATGCGCTTTTATAGCATTCCGGCTGTCTTTCGGTTACGTGTATAAGTCAAATGCGATGGTAACCGTGCTGCCAAGGGATCCCAGTCTCTGCACAACCATGAACTCATTAAAACCGTGCATCGTTTTTCATCGTCCGTTTCGAAAAGACCACCTAGTTTTTTGCATGCGGTTGGGTGAAAAACAAGATGCTGTGGTGCCCCTTTACCATTTTTCTACTTCTAACTATATCCATCAGTACATTTCCTCCAGCAGCTCCAACCGATGGTGAAGTGGTTATGACGTTTGGTTTGAAAACGGTGGATGGCCAGTTTGACGTTGTATAGGTGTGGATAATCTGGATGATGAGATGTTCGGGCGTACTGCTGATACGGCTCCAGTGTAATAGACGTCGGTTTTATTTGTAATGAGGCTCTGTCGTCTGGCCTCATTTCACCGCAGTGCTCAACAACCCACCATCAACACACAAGTCACAACAGGTTACGCTACCCAGTTGCTTTGACTGAATTCAACGTACGTAGAATAAGGTGGATGGGACAACAGGCTGTTTTCGCATACGCACACACACACACCAGCACAGAAGATAACTTTGGTGTCGACGTGTGCTGCGCCGCTGAGGCTAGAATGCGGATATCGAACCAACTGAGCCAAACTTTTTCTCCCGCTTTTGCTCCATGTATCCGAAGAGGATGTATCGGCTACAGGTCAAGTTGGTATGAGATCGTTGTTTACTGCAAAAGATAATCACGTTTGACTGATTGGATTCCTTTGAACGACCGTTACTGTGGAGCCCACCAAGATTAGTTTACTAAGCAGTATTAGTTGTTGCTTGCTCGTAGTTACAGCCTACCCTTAGTCAATCGTGGTCTGGGTGAACTAGCAAAGGAGCTATTAATAACAAACTGTGTGCTCTCTATGCGATGCTATCAGCGCGATTATGTTAAGGAATGTAGGATGTACGGGGGCGCAAACAAGATATTTAAGTTTTTCCGAGGCACAGATAGGTAAAAGGTTTGCGTTTAGTTCTCAGTACGCATACAACGACAGGTGTACAAATCAGTTATGCGCCGATGCCACGCTTCATCTAACAGGCAACAGCTACAAGCCCAATGAACGCCAATGCGCGGCTTGGTCTCCACATGGCAACTGGTTGGATATCGACCCAAACCTGACCATCAGACAATGGGTGCCCTACTCCCTTGGCAGTTCCCTTGGATGAGTCCTCCGCCGTGTTTCGTCGAAATCGAGGCTGTATTGACAATATCTTTACATCAGTTGTTGGAGCACCGCCATGTTTAATGGCAACCCACCGTAGTCGAGTTCTTAGAAATTAAAGAGGCCCTTGATTCGGTTGATTGATGTGCCCTTTGGACTGTCTACTCAAAAAAGGTGTGCCCGAGAAATTGTAACCTTTATCCGAGCACTATACGCGCGTAGGTCGGGCAGAGTGAGGGTTTACGACAAGCTGTCGCCGTCCCACAATATCTCCAGCGGTTTGAGACAACGTTGCCCGCTGATACCTTTACTCTTTAAATTCGTCATTGACGAAGTCATGAAAAAGGCGTTCGCCGAGCACGAGTTAGAAGGTATGGAATTACTCCCTGGTGAAAAACTTAGCAACTTGGAGTAGGCCGATTACATTGTTCTAATCGGTGACAGCGCCTTAACGTGCCAAGCAGCACTAGATAAATTACCTCTGACTGTCAGCGTTCGGGGGAAAGCTTTGGTTCAGCGAAATGAAAAGTTCTTTAATATTGGCAGGGACCCACTCCTGCGATGACCCTTGGTGGTGATCAGCTGGAAGACGTCCCCAAATTCAACTATCTGGGCAGCTATACCAGCGTCAACGGAATTGAGGATATTACAAACCGCATAGCAAAAGCTCGATGCGCTTCTGCTAATCTCCGCCATATGTGGCGCCGGCGTGACATTACTCTCGGCCTAAAGGGCAGAGTTCACAATGCAGCCGTCCGTACTACCCTCCTTTATCGTCGCGAAAGTTGGCCCACCAAGCCGATAAAGTTAAAGAGGTCAGCTGCCTTCGCAACTTAGCTCATGTTTGGTGTGAGCACCGCGGGAGCAATGAGCGTGTTCGGCCTCGCGCATTTGGTGCAGGAAGAGCGAGTGAACCGCTCAGCAGCAGTATATCACCCACCACTCTCTGATGGTTGGGCCACACGTTGCGCATGCCAGCCCACCAACTCCCGTGACGTGAGTTGTTTGCGCTACGGGGCCGTGGATGGAAGATGTGAGGAGGTCAAGAGGAATGAAGTTCCTCACTTCGAAGTTGGCGTCAATTGGTGCATCCTGACTGCCTGGCTGGATGATGAATACGTTTGACTGGATATACTAACTGAGGTAGCGAAGAGTCGACCTTATGGCGTTCGTATTGTGATACTCTTTGTTCCTCCACTTTCCTTTAGCTTCTCCATCCAACAACCATCAAAAATGTGATATTAGCATTATGTTAACTTTTTATAACTTTTAAGTCTACATTGCTTAATGACTTACTTTTTTTATTGCGGCATATTAGCTGAGGTGTCTCTCACCCTCGGCTGACCTGTATTCATGATGATGACGACGACGTCATAAGCTTCAGGTGGGGTGGTTTCTGGCTTAAAAACCACCTGCCCTGGAATCGAGACCTATCACAATGAGGCCCAAATCAATGGACGGTTTTCCGTCAGCTTTACCCAACGAGGTAACAGACGAATAACAGAACTGACAGCAGAGAATCAGCACTAGCCCTGCGTACTAAGTTCTCAATAAATTGCTCACAGGGTATTGGGTGATGGGGAGATTGGATTCCTCCTACTTACATAGCCCCGAAAGCTTTGACGGTATACAAGGGGGTGCAAAA